CTGGCTACAGAGGAGGTGCGACGAAGTAGAAGAGTTACAAACACAGCACAGAGATAGAGAACTGCACAGAAAGATCAAAGAAATGGCGGGTCTGTGGAAACCCAAACACATATCTCTAATAAGCGATAACAACAACGAACTAGAACTCGACCCCGAAAAGCAAAAACTGATATGGCAAAACTACCTGAGGGAATTGTTTGGAAATGAACAGAGAAGAGAAGAACCTCCCCAAATCCAGAAGGGGGACAAACTACCCATACTAAAAGAGGAAGTCCTACAGGCTATCAGGGACACAAAAAGCAATAAGGCACCAGGCGACGACCAGACGACGGCAGAACATTTTAAGTATATAAGTGACAACGCCATCACAACATTAACCCGGCTTTTCAATGAAATATATGAAAATGGAATATTGCCTCAAGACTGGCTAACATCGACCTACATAGCATTACCCAAAAAAAGCAAAGCCCGAAAGTGCGAAGATCACAGAACAATCTGCCTGATGAGCCATGCAGCAAAAATCTTCATGCGAATAATATTCAACAGAATCTATAACAAATGTGAAGAATATCTGAGCCGATCGCAGTACGGGTTTAGGAAACGCACAGGCACAAGGGAAGCTACTCTGGGATTAACTCTAATAGCAGAGAGGTACATGGAAGTCCAAAGGAAACTCTATGTGTGCTACGTCGATTACAAAAAGGCCTTCGACCGTATAAAGCATGAGGAATTAATACGAATCCTGATGGAAATAGGACTGGATGGTAGAGATATAATCATCATCCGCAACATGTACTGGGACCATAAGGGCTGCGTACGAACGGAGACTGGAAACACCGAATACGTAAATATAGAAAGAGGGGTAAGACAAGGATGCATACTGTCCCCACTCCTATTCAACGTGTACGCGGAGTCTATAATGAAAGCATCATTACAGACCTGCCCCAAAGGAGCTAAAATAAATGGGAACATTATCAACAACATAAGGTACGCCGACGACACCGTGGTGATAGCAGATTCGGAAGAACAACTGCAAACTTTGATGAGCATCCTAAATGAAGAAAGCTCAAGAATGGGCCTGGAAATCAATACCGCTAAGACCAAGACCATGGTATTTGACAGATCCTCACAGGGGCACATAACCAACATTATGATAAATGGTCTCAGACTTCAAACGGTGCAGCACTACATCTACCTGGGCAGAGAAGTCAACAACCAACTGGACCACTCAAAAGAAATAAGAAGAAGAATAGAAATCGCCAGAACTGGATTTCTAAATATGCGTAAAGTGCTATGTCATCCGAGACTATCAATAACTCTCAGACTAAGAGCACTTAAATGCTACGTATGGGCTCTATTGCTTTATGGCTGTGAGACATGGACACTTAAGCAAGACGACATCAAGAAACTCAACGCATTCGAGATGTGGCTTTATCGACGTATGCTTCGGGTCAGTTGGACAAGCCACACAACTAACGAGACGGTGCTACGTAAAATGAACACACGAGCACACTTGTACACGCTCCTTAAAATACGTAAAACCGCTTACCTCGGACACATCATGCGCCACCAAGAGCACGAACAGCTTCAGCTGATATTGGAAGGGAAGATAGAGGGTAGACGGAACATAGGCCGAAAGAAGAAATCATGGCTGAGAAATATCCGGGACTGGACCCACACAGATGGAAATGCCCTCATACATCAAGCCCAGAACAGAGAAATGTATGCCACAATGGTCGCCAACCTCAGCAGAGACGGCACTTAGGAGGAGGATATGAGTATTGGTCTGTGATGCACCATTTCGATTTTATTAGCGACCATCTTCAGAATTCGGGTTATGCTTAAACAATCATTGTTGGGTTGTTTATTAACTTTTTAAACCTTTTTCTATCTATTATTTTTACAGATATAATGCTTTTCTGTAGGCAAATATTTTCTTAAAATACGCGGTGTTGCCGCGTTTAACAAAATAGTACTTTTCTCAATTTTCTTAAGTGAGACACATTATTAGATTTTCGAATAGCCACTTTTAACCAATTCCAATTATATAACATAGTACGGGTCTCAGACTTACCGTTTTGGCTTCATTGGCAATTATTTTCCAATAATACATAAATTCTTTTGCATTCATAATTTAAGAATCTTGTAAATAAGGTCCTTAAATGGAAAAAAACTTTCAAGAAATATTCATATTCTTATTAATATAGACCGCATCTCTTTAAAAAATATATAAATACGAGGTTAGCGCCAAAATTTCCCGTTCTGGCATAGATGCAGCTCCATTATCACGATCAAACTTTGTCTTCTTTTAAATACATATCTTAGTAGGCTGCGAAAAAAAAATGAAGTATTGCGTCAAATAGTTTTCTTTTGACAGCATTTTAAACAAAACGTAGCACTTAAAATTATTAAAGAAAGGATGGATGGTGTGTACGGCCAAAATTCTCCTTCGTATTCTGTAGTGAAAGAATGGGCAAAACGTTTTCGAATGGGGCAGGAATCCCTTGAAGATGATTCAAGAACTGGTCGACAAGTGAAGGTCATAACGGAAGAGGTGGTAGTGATCGACGTTTAAAGGTCAAGCAAATCTCAGAAATTAATAAGCTTTCTGATACAAGTGTTCGTCGAATCCTGCATGATCATTTACGTATGCATAAGGATAGCGCAAGATGGGCTCCTAAAAATCTTTCGGCTATTCAAAAACAACGCCGTGTCGAGTGTGCGCGGTCTTTTTTGGAACTCTGTGGGTCGTAACCGAGGCCTGTGATAGAAACTATTGTGACGGGAGATGAAACTATGGTTCTCTATTTTGACCCTCTATCGAAAAAACAATCAATGGAATGGTGTCGTAAAAGCACCTCCCAGAAAATTCAGAGTCTGTCAGTCAATAAAAAAGGTGATGGCCACGATCTTTTGGGATTGTGAAGGAATTCTTTTGATAGATTTTAAAGAAACTAATATCACTGTCGATGTTAAATATTACGCAACATTATTACATAAATTGCGAGACTGCATACGTGTAAAACGTCGAGGAAAACTGACCAGAGGCGTGCGTCTTTTGCACGATAATGCACCTGTGCTGTGCTGGTGTTGCACAAGCTGCCATTTTAGAGTGGGGATTCCAACAGATAGATCATCCTCCCTATAGCCCAGATATGGCCCCCAGCGACTATTATTTGTTTGGATATTTGAAAAAGGACTTACGTGAACGGCGGTTTAACGACGAAGTTGAGTAGTGACTGTTTTAACTCATTTTGCAGATAAACCAAAAGAATATTTTTTTAAAGGGATTGAGTTGTTAATAAAGAGATGTAATAAGTGTATTGAAGTTAAGGTGAATTATATTTAAAAATAATACAAAATTGTTACTCTTCTTTCATATTCAGGCCGGGAAATTTTGGCGCTACCCTCGTATATATGAACCTGCCTGTTGAAAGACACAAATACAAAATTGATATTATTAATTTTGACCTTTTTGACATAATCATCTCAGTAGTAGTTCTCTGTTGTGGTAATATTACTGATTTTTTGACAGGTATCAGGGTATTATAATATTTTCAGCGTATTTTTTCGGACCTCCACTATTTTCTATTTATTTTATTAAGTTGCATTTTTGTTGAGTCTACTTTGTATAATGTATACAAAGGAGGAAAAAATTGACGTATTAGAATATTACATCGCCAATAACAAAAGTCCGGCTCTTGCTCTCAGACAATATAGAGCCAAATTTCCCCATAGGCGATTGCCAGGAAAAAAAAATTGCCAAAATATAGGAGCAGTTACGAACAAATGTCAGTGTTTTAGTGAGAAAAAGTTGGAGCCGAACGGTTTTGAATGCATATATGGAAGATATTCTTCTGCATTTTGACAATATTCCAGAGACCTCCACCCGCCTTGCCGCTTCAGATGAACACGCAAGAAGAACCACTCTTCAAACATGTTTAAATATTAACAGTTATAAGCCATTTACATTCACACCAGTATAAAAACTACAAGAAGCAGACTAGAACTTAAGAATCGAATTTTGCAATCTAATAACATATAACATATAACATAATAAATATAACATATTTCAATAATAACATATTTCAAAATATAATAACATACCATTTAGAAATAGCATATATACTTGCATTGTTCAAAACGGCAGACATATTGAAAAACTAATTTAATTAATTTTACTTGTAAGTAATATGCATTAGTAGACATTTAAACGTTGAAATAAGTAATTTGCGAAATTTGGCAACATTGTGCAGAGCTTAATATTCTATTTTCAATGTGACTTCTTAACAATGCTCTAAAACGGTTATGTTCATAAGGGGCTAATGCCCAGTTTCATATCTTAATAATTTAAATCTTATACCCAGTTTTAAATTTGATCTGCCAATTCAGCCAAAACGGTAAGTGAGAGACCCTTACTATGTTATATAATTGAAATTGCTATTAAAGCGGCTATTCGAAAATAAAATAATATACAGAGTGTCCCATTTAAGAAAAATGTGGCAATACCGCGTAATTTCAGAAAATATTTTAAATTTTATCATTGCCTGAAAAAAAGCACGATTTTCGTAAAAATAATAGATGCAAAGAAGTTTAAAAAGTTAATAAGCAACTCAACAATGATGGTTTGAAAATAACAAGAATTCTAAAGATGATCGCTAATAAGTTCGAAACGGTGCATCACAGACCCATATACTCATATATATCGTTGAATTTGTCTTTGAAAGGACTATCCAAAAATGCAATAAAATGTAGGGTGCTATTTCAAAAAATGTAACTTTGTTTTGCCACCTTGAATATAAAAAAGTAACAATTAGAAAAATTAAAAAAAAAGGTTATTTTAGTAGAAAAAGTTTTTGAATTTAATTTTTTTTTGTAACCCCCCTGGGTTTCGAGATAAGGTGTAGGGCACATTTGCGTTTCACAAGTGAGTTTCAAAAAAGTATCACAGATTACAAGTTTTTATTTTTTATATTAATCCGTATATACATATATACACAGAAACGCTTCGATCCGCCATATTCAGTCGACAATGTGGTATTCGGCGTTGTTCATCCTATCGAGTTCCTTCAGCTCCGCTTGGAACACCAAATTGTCGATTTTATTTTGCAGCACCAGACGACTTCTCTCCGGTAGTCCCCTCAATTTGGTGGCTAAGAGTTGAGCGTACAGCTCGCAAGAGTCCGGCGCCTCCTGGAATTGCTCCCTCCCGTCTTCCAGCTTCGGTCTTTTTCTCGTCCGGTGCTCCTGGGTCTCGACGTCTCTTTGTTTGGGTTCTGATGCCACGTAATCGGACTCCACGCTTACGCTCATCGGTTGGATCCGCGGTACCTCGTACTCATCGTACGTCTCCTCCAGGTCGTACACGTCTTCCGACTCGTCGAACAGTTCGTTCTTGACCTGGTCTTGTACCTGAATGTCCTGCAAGTTTGGAAAGAACGACGGTTTTGAAAGTTCAACCCCTATGCTTCTCGACAATTTGACTCTTTTTTAAACTAACCAAAATTTGCAACACAGTAATGAAGACAAACAGCAACGTAATAACTCTAAGGGAAAAAACATGAGCTAGGAAACTACACAATTGATCAATAAACAATTTTGCAAGCAAAAAGGAGTTCGAAACTCAATTTAAAAAAGATTCTGGTTCAGCCCTCAAGGTAAGAGATACAGGGTGACTTAAATTAGGACATCGGTGAGTTCAATAATGTTCTTTTTTGAAAATGAAGTTATTTTTGTTATTTCCGGAAATATGGCGGAAACATCCGGTATTCGTTATTATTTTTTTATGTCTTGATTTCAAAACTAAGCAAAAATCTGTAAATACATTCTCATTGGAACTTTTTAGGTTTCATCGTATGGCCAGGTTAAAAACAACTTAATACTTTTCGTTTTTCTCAAACCATCATCAACTTTATTTTTTCGCAGTGCTGAATAGCCCGTATTTTTGCCTTTCCATTGATATATCACAAGTTGTATTTGTGTTTCCTCAAATTCGAGATATGGTAAAACTTTATTATGAAAAGTTTCGTGTGTTTAATATTCTTTGGTTTGGTATATTACTTAGTTTAAGTTTATTAGTAATCATTCTTATTTCGTGTGTAATACAGCGTGTGTTAAATCCTGTGCGAATTATGCAAAATATGTGCGAGTCTAGTGTATCTCAGGATATGCTCCCGTTTGTCACTCCTAGACAAAAGATGTCGATGGAAAAAAAATACCTTTAAGCCATACATATGGCAAACAGGGTTAGTTAGTTAGTTGGTTCTGTGAAATTGCTGACAAAAGTTTGACAATTGTAGAGTTGATTTCTAGATCATTTTGAGATCCTTTCGCTTCCTTCTACAGGACAGGGTTAAGCGTATCACAATGTGGCATAATATGAACTCAAAACTGAAAATTTTGATGGAGCTAAGGCTGAGGGCGTTGCTAATTATAGAATCAACGTAAAGCGAAAAATCCAAATTGGAAACTGGATTGATCCACACTTTACCACTATCAATAATATGATAAACGCTATTGAAAGTTTTGGTACTGTGCAATTTACTTTGCGTCTCATCCAGTGCAAGGCAATCATCAAGAGTGATAATTCATCAACAAATAGAAGAAATAGGGAACATAAGGAAGAGCAAAAATGGAAATCGTTGATGAATAAATTGAAAAGCGGTGCTCCCAAGTGTTGTTAATACGAACAATGTGTGGATGTTATAGATAAGATCGCTTTTAGCTCAACAAAGTAGAATCTGTAAAACTCCCAGTTATATATGGTTTGAGAAATTCGTGTTCATTGGGTGCCTCCAAGCCATTCGCCCAAACGTCAATTCACGTTGCAAAAAAACAAATGATACCTGCGAGAAGACCTGCTTCGGTTCTTTTTTCCTCTTCTTGATGGTACTCATGAACTTGTGGATGGCATCGTAGGCGAACCAAGACGGCACGTACTTCTCCTTGCGCACCTCCCATTTACGGATCTTGTTCGTTATCGTCCGGTACATCGCCAACACTGATTCCTTCTTCTTACGCAGCTGATCGACGGTGACGTCGATGCTAAAATCTTCGGCCATTTTGATCCACGCGTCGTTCAGACTCGTGCGATTTTTATTTAACGGATGTTCGGGATTCCACAGCACCGGGTGCATCTCGTAAAGCCGTATGAATTCGAGCACCAAGTCGTTGCTCCATTCCATGGCGAAAATTTCAAAAATGACGCGAACAGGTCTCGATTTGCGTGTATGGCGGCACGCCTTCTATCGAGCGAACGCACGAACGTTCGACTGCGAACGTATCGCGGCAGTTTTCTCGGTCAGTCACCGGCGAAGGCGATTCGATCGTGGTAGGTTGCGACGAACGTAATTCGAGGGTTAGTTCGGACGTACGTAGCAACGTTGGCCGCCGCGATCGTTAGAAAGAGACGCGAATACGTACGCGCGAGCCGGCGATATTTGGACCTTTCGTTCGCACAGAAGCCTTATACAGGGTGCTCACGAAAAGGGTCCGATTTTTAAAATATCTTAAATTTGAGATTAGTAAGTTGCAATAAAGATGTATACTTCAAGAAACATCAATAAGAAAACTCAACCAGCATAACGTTATTTTTATTCTATTTAACCTCAAATATGAGCAACACCCAGAGTTCTACTAAAATATAGAAGCGATCATTTTCGGCGGTCTGTGGAACCCAGTGTATTCCATCTAGCGAACTGCAATCGGAGCCAGAGACTTAAAGAGATCGACATTATTTTTGAGACTTTGATTTCCGAGTGTGTTTGGATCTTTATAGTTTTCCATGATAATATAGATTAAAGATCATTTTCTGTAGCTGTATAATAAATCTTGACCGAATAAGTAAAAAACAACAAAACAGAATTTTATTTTTGAAACCTTAAACTAAACACAAAATTTACTCGATACCAAAGAATAAGGGGATTTTTGTACTCTTTACCTATTAATTTGTAATGAAAATTGAATTTTGAATTTAAAATATTGGTTCAGTAAATTTGGCAAATCATTTTTTTTTAACAGTACAAAGAATATCTTTGTGCATACGCGTTTTTCGAAGGGTTTTTAAGAGGTTAGATTATCATAATTTTTGTTATAGACAAATATTTTCAAAGGACATTGTTTGATAACCAAATGCGTACATAATTTGGTAAGTATATATTGGTAAATAAAATAATCCAAACGAGATCATCCCATTCTCCAATTTATGTAAATGACCAAGAGAAAGACAAGACAAGAAAGAACAATTAAGTCATTTTAAAAACTAAGCCAACAGGATGATTGGGCAAACGTTAGCAAGTTCGACTCAGCAAAAACCGAAGCAGGAGGAATCCAGAAGATTTGTAAATAGTACGTTGTGGAAGTTTCTTTAAAAAATTACTTTTCATTATTACAGACGAGCAAAAATACGAACATGATGCCTTGCGAATAAGAACAAGCGTTTAGAATTTTAGAATTATTAAATAAAAGTTACTTCGGAAACAAATAATAATTAGTTTAGAGGTAAACAATTTTTAAAAACGGTGTTACAGATAGGGCACGCATTTTTAAAAACTTAAAAGTTAAAAACTACTTTGCTGCAACTTTGGGCTCCTTGTAGCTACTACCGTCTTACATGATAAAGAAGAGAGAACAAAAAATTAAAGCCGTACAGATGGAACATTACAGAGCGGACAATAACTTCAATTTATTTTTAGAAATGAATTAAATAAAAATAAATACAAAATCCTTAACTAATTTTTTTTCTCAATTTTAATTTTTTTTGGTAGCTCGGAAGCAATTATGTATTTATCATTTGTTATTATTTATCTTATTATATTATTTAGTATGTATTTATTATGTAGCAATGAAAGACCATGTTTTCTATATAAATTATAGGTGTTATATTCAGATTTGATTTTCACGTCGTTGGTTGACATCTTGCTTACTAGGCATTGGCATACCATCGCATAGAATTATAGCTGAATTTTTACAACTATCATTTTTAGATAGATAGATAGATAGATAGATGGTTTATTGACTACTTTACAATTGTTTGTAACAAATTAAATTGAATATATGCTAACATAAAATTTTATACAACGTCATAATAACAAATTAAGAAAATAAATTTATATGTATATAGCACAGAACAATCATTAAAATACAATCATGCACAACAACCCGCAAGACGTCATTACCGATGTTTTCTTCAAAAAATTCACCAACGCTATAATAGCCCTTACTTAGAAGAAAACTTTTAATTTTATATTAAAAATGTTTTTCGTTTAAAAGTTTAAAAGATTTTGGCAATAAAGTTTTATATAAGGAGAGTTTTGTTTTGATTTCTGCAACCTGTATGTCGGAAGCACGAGATTATTTGCACTCCGGGTGTCATACCTATGAGAATCAGAATCCCTTGGCAGACTATCGGTCTTGGAGTGTATCTCAAGAACACTTTGAAATATAAGTATACATGGAACCGTCATTATTTTATATGGCTTACAGTGTTCGTTAAAATTTGAATTTGTAATTATCCGTAGTGCCTTTTTAGCATCCTAAATATTTTAACGGCATAAGAGGAGTTACCCCACAGTATGGTGGCATAGTTTATACGCGAGTGAAATATTTGAAAGATTTTTACTTAGCGCGCCAATGTGTTCTGACCAATTCAGAGTGTCATCCAAGGTAACGCCCAGAATCTTGTATCCCTTTCCACATGTCAACCTACTGCTACTAGACACTAATAAATTCTTTGTTTTATCTTCACTAAGATTATTTGCTGAAAACCATGCTTTGACCTTATATGTTTCAATATTACTCAGGGTAGTGATGTTCCTGTTTGAATTAATAGACGTTGTGTCGTCAGCAAACAGCACAATCTCAGTATCAGGGATCAAGTACTGGCAAATATTATTTATGTATATAATAAAAAGAAGGGGTCCTAGAACGGAGCCCTGGGGTACTCCAAACTCAACGCAAGCCAAATCAGACTTATTGTTCTTTACGCGCACACGTTGTCTATCTGTGGTCCTCTTCTTTTTACATGGTGGCCGACAGTCAATCCGACCTAACATAACAATTACTAGCCGCTTTTTTCCATTGCAAAATTTGCATCACTTTTCTACGGTCCACGCTCCCATATCCCCTTTCTAAGCGACGTTAAGTAGTTAGAAAAAAATCGCCAGAAGTCACTATTTTGAAGAAGCTGCTGCATAACATTAATGATTATTATTATTATTGGATTTCCGAGTTGCGAATTTATCAACAAATACTCGTTGTCGGTGTATGTAAGCGTATATTGTCGATTTTCGGTAATTACCCTTTACTGCCGGATAATGTGCCGGCGTGGTGTGACTTTTTTTTAAATTCCGATAAAAATGTTTTGAAAATTGTCGAGGTCGAGGAGGCCGTGCCCGATTTCACGCGAATCCAGCGACGGACTTGGCACAATTTCCTAACCTAACCGTCACGGATAAATCGGCAGTTGCCGGCCGAAAATCGGCGCGGCACGTCCCTGCCCGTAATTCGACATAAAAATATTTTTGATGTAACGAAAGTCTCTTTTTATTTTTTCTACTTATCCGTAACATAAACAAATAAGACTATTTTTAAACAACCGATGATGAAAACAAACTGAACTTCGCGTCGTCAATAATGTAACAATAAAACCAGCTATTTGCCAATCTGTCCTAGACTCATCAGGTTAAAAATCGGTTACCTAGATGGCGCATTGTGTGATTTTAATCATAGTTAAGAGATTGGTAAAATACTATATAAATTAGTGAGCCTCGAGGTTAAAAAAAAACTTTAGCGAATTCATTATTGACAACAGCAGAACGCTATCACTTCTTGGAATGTACGCCTCGTTATGCATATAATAAATCATATAATACCCATAATAAAATATAAAACAATATATGCACTTTGCAAAATACGTATTATTAATCTCTGCTACTGATAATGAAGGTATGGTAGCACCTACGTATCTTGTTTTTCTCAACATTTGTTTACAGTGGGGGATGCGACCCAAACTATTACGTAAACAATGATTTCGCGACCTTCTTAAATCACGACCAAATTAAATGTAAGATATCGGGTTAATTATCCGTTTTATGATTGACACGACGGAATATAGTACGCAGTAAACATTATGTATGAAGCCAAACTATTATTGTTATTATAGTGACTACAAACAAATTACTTTTAAGAATGTTAGCACTACCGCATAACGTGAAGCGATCGAAAATTTGTAAACTTCTAAATAATATCGTCAATATGTTTATCAAAAGGGCACCAAAACTTTCCTATGTATCGGGTATATGCATTAAATTATAATGTTTGATAAATATTAGAGTTGATGATGGGAATAAAATATCTAAAATTAGTTGCTTTCCAAAATTGTACATTTGAGAAATATCCGCCTGCCATATCGCCAAACTTTGTTTTCTTTGTAAAACCGAAAGCAAAACATAAATACGGTCCTAAAGTAAATTTAACATAAAAATATCTATTTTAAAGTACGTGTGGCCAAATTACATTTGCTTTATCGTTTCTGAACTCGAAAACCTAAGGACAATTTGTAATAATAAAATTAGAAAGTAAATACACGCCAAATGTACGGCCGATAACAAACAAAATAGAAAACTTCACGCCGGCAAATCGGTTATTATTGGATTGGGATCGTGTTCCCCGCGTGATTCTTGATAAATTTACCACCAGCGACATGTATGTTATTCAAGCGCTGTTTTTAATTTAAAATTAGATCGTAATAGCGCTTTCTTATTGGCCTTATTCCTTTTTCTACCGTGACGTATAGACTGCTAGCGAAAACCGAACCAATCGAAATATGGTTTATGTATACGGTGGGATATACAGAAACACTAAACTTTGCCGATATAAAAAATTATAAAAAGCTTCCACAAAAATAACATTTGGCCGATAACATTTTAAAAGTTCGATAACCTCATTAGAGAAATTTAGAAACCTATTTCCATTTTTAATAATAAAAATCTGGCAGAGTTTATTTAGTTAGTATTTATTGATAGAGAGTTATTAAATCTCACATATTTGTGTTTTATGTTTGTGTTTTTAATAAACGCGCAGACAATGAAAACGTTTAATCATTTTTTAAAATTTTATTTAATGCGGCGTTCCATGGCTGTATACTTAGTTGCATACGTATAGGATTGAATTAAATGGATTAATCCTCGTTCTCACAACTGTGTCCTGTCGCCAGTGACACTTCGGCAACCAATGGAAATTAACCATTTATCGACGGCTTCTTCTCCGCTTCTTCCCACCCCAGCGACACGTATACAAGTTTATTTTAACTTTATTTTAACTACAAAATGTTCTTAGACTTATGCACCTATGCCGCTGATGTGTGAATTGTTCCTTCCAATAAAGTCCCACCTGGACCTCCATGCGGTCCGAGTAAAATAGCAGAGCGGAAAACCTGCAGGAAGCGTATTTCAGTTTTTTCATTATATTATTAAGTTGAAAACATCATATATTATAGGTAATAGATATTACTAACAACTGCAATAAGCAAAGCTGTTTACACTTTGACACTGCGAATATTTTTCTTTTTTTGTGGCAGTGCCAAAGATATGAGCAATTATTCTCATTTGAGGATCCATGGTGTTTATAGTTTTTTAAAAGGGATTATTAAGAGTCATAACAATAAACTGTGTTAGTATGTTATAATTATTCACAAATACTAATCCTCACTCACCGTGCGCCACGAACATTTGTCATGGGTGTTGCTTTTTGATCGTTGGAATGTTTGAGCGAGTGTCTTCAGTAAATTTGCCCAACTTTGTTAGAAAAAAGAAGTTTCATTCTGCTTTCCGTGTAAATTTTATGCCATGCTCTACTTGAGGTCGCCATTTTCAAACAAAAAGGTCGAAAATTGATTATTTTGTGCCGGCATTTTAGCAATAATTCCCAATCGTTCGAAAATTGGTGAACATACACGTCGCAGGAGACTTTAGTTTCGGTAGTAGAAGTTATGGCCAGAGGAGGAATGAGGGGCAGAGGCGGCATGAATAGAAGCATGGGCGGCAGACCCCCATACAAAGTGAAAATGTTTCTTCCAAGGCACCCGTTCGATCTCGCCCTCTGCGAGTCGTCATTTCCGCGGGTTAAAGCTGCACCCGACGAATCGGCATTCACGCAAGCTTTATTAAAGCGTAACAGTGATTTGTCTCCAACGCCTGCAGAACAAACCGCCATTCTCAACCTGGTTACGAAAATTCAAACAGTTCTCGATAACTTGGTCGTCGCACCTGGAAACTTCGACGCTTGCGTAAGTGCTTTTTTGTTCATACCAGTTTGTTAAGGAAACTCATTCTTTTCTTTTGCAGCAATTGGATGAAGTACGACAAGTGGGTTCATTTAAAAAGGGCACTATGGTTACGGGCCACAACGTTGCCGACATCGTCGTAATTCTCAAGACTCTCCCAACTAGGGAAGCGGTAGAGGCTCTCGGCAACAAAGTAAGAGAGGATCTGAAGAATTTAATGAAAAACGAAATCGTTCCCAAAGGCGAGCAACTGTCGCACGCAACCAACGAGCGAGGCTTCGAGGTCAGTAATTCTTTTGCTTGCGTTCGTGTCATGGTAACCACCCTGCACCACAACATCAGAAAGCTGGACCCGGAAATCCATCTAGATCAGAAAATTATGCAGAGTCACCTGGCCGCCATCCGACATAGCAGATGGTTTGAGGAAAACGCCCATCATTCCTCCATTAAGGTTTTGATTCGTTTGTTAAGAGACGTTAAGAACAGATTTGAGGGTTTTGAACCGCTCACGCCCTGGATGTTGGACCTTTTGGCACATTTCGCGATTATGAATAACCCTAGTAGGCAAGCCTTGCCTATAAACGTGGCCTTTCGGCGCGTTTTCCAACTGCTAGCCGCCGGATTGTTCTTACCGGGATCGGCCGGTATTACGGATCCCTGTGAGGGTGTGAGTTTAAGAATACACACGGTGATGAGTTTGGAACAGCAAGATGTCTGCTGCCTCACTGCCCAGACTTTGCTCAGGGTGTTGTCGCATGGTGGGTTCAAACAGATTTTGGGTATCGAAGGTAGCAACAACATAGCCAAAGAGATGTCCGTTTGGGACGGGGTGGTTGTTTCACCTTTGGATAAGGCCTACGAGAACCCGCCAGAGAAAAAGGAAGGGGACGAGGATGAGGATATGGAGGAGGGAGAAGGGGACGAGAGTATGGAAACGCAGGAAGTGCAGTAGACTTTAGTATTTATGTATTTCATTGTGAATCGAGTGATTTGATCATATTGTGGCGTGATTTAGTGATTGGAATATCCTTTTTTTAAATAAAAGTCATTTTTCTGGTGTAATTTTAATTCTTTCCTGTTTTTGCCTAGGTCTCCAGTCTATAGATCTTAAGCACAGTTGAATTGTCAATTACCTTATTTTACCTTGACCTTTAGATGTGCATTAAGTATTAACAAGTTAAAATACTTACATAAGTGCTGTGTGAGCAAAGATACTGCCATTTTGTACCTAAGGAGCTATTCTTGACAGCAAGCATTTTGAGTGGTGTTCACGAAATGTAAAAATTATCAACGAAATTCGCAAATCCGCTTTGATAGTGGAAGTTTTTGTTAACTTAACAGTATTTTTGGTATAATTTATTAGAATGTATAATATACTATTTAATAAATATAATGAAAGATGTCGAAATTATTAAGGTCCTTGCACTTTTAACTAAGAATTAAGACAAAATTATAATAACAAACTAATCCACAGATTAGGAAATCAAATTATTAATAATTTATTTATAAATAGATATGCTTAACTTTTTCCCATTTTTTTATGATTTGAAACACTTTTAGGACAAACATATTAATAGCAAATTTAAGACTCATAAACTTACTAAAGGACAGTATATTATTAAATAAATTTCAAAAAATAATGCTTTACTATTAAACTTAAGTATTTTAGACAATACGTACGTAAAGTATGTAAGGAATTTAAATTAAATTATTCCAAAGGACCTCCTGTTTAAAATATCAGAAACCCGTTCCTACAAGTTGTGTGCATGTTTTTGTGTAAACTTATTAGAAAACGTGCCACCTATTGATAGTTCTTCGTGATATTTCATAAATTCGATTAAAATCCTTTTTTGTTCCAACGTAGCATCTTATTTTATGATCAGATTATAAACAATTTCTTATGGATAACATATATTGCGAACGTTCATCGATTCCAATGATTATAACGAAATGGTCAAAAATAACATTAATGGGATTGTGCACGCTTTCAAAACTAACTTCCTTGTTCCTAATCAAACGGAATACCAAAGAAATTAGGTTATCGGTTGTCTCGACATTTTGACTTGATTGTGGCTCCATCTATGCAATTTGTTTACAAGGAAAAATGCACAGTGCGCATATTAATTTCGTGAGCATTAAAATAATTTATATTAAACGGAACTTAGATAAAGCACGGAATCCATGTAGGTATCTTTATTACACAACTGCGCTTCCCTTTATGGACGACGTAGCCATATTCTAAAATTAAATCCCGTGGGTATTTCGTACCACCTAGTGCGCCGAATCGTCGGTTCCGAATCGATTCTCTCGAAATTTTCTTTCGCCGAACGCATCGCGTCCCAAAAACATGAACGAATGCGGTCGACCGTCCCCACAACATTCGGATTTATTATCAGAAGAGAACGACAATAGGGAAACGACCCTCTTGAACCGCTCGCCGAGTAAAAAACGCGAAAAGGTAGAGTGCGTTCCGGTGAAACATGTACGCAAACCGACCGACAGGGGACGCAAGACGTTCGCGTTTTGGACCCTCGTTATTCTGTTGTTTATTTTGGCGGTCGGTAACTTGATTTTAACGATGACGATATTCGGAGTGCTTCGCTTAGGCCAAGGGATGCAGAGCATCGAGATCCTGCCCAACGAAAAGGCGATCAAGTTCTTTGGCGACATCGACTTGGACCACATTTACAAACACGACGGTAGAATCGAGGGGTTCGACGGGGAATCGGTGGAAATTACCGCGGAAGACGCCCCGCTGTTGGTAAATTTGTACTCCAGGGTGAATCGGGTCGTGAACAAGCTGAAAATCGACAGGAACGAGACGTGTTTCAACGGGTTCACCGTTTTCGACGTCAAGAACAGAGACAAGGAGACGATATTCACCGTCTCCAATCCCGTGTTTAACAATTTGAGAAACGCCAACAACCTGAAGACGAAACAAGTGGAAACGAACAAGATTAGGAGCCCGACCTACGAGAGTTTAAAGATCGAAAGTGAAAACGTTCACCTAAAAGGAGCGGAAGGCACAAAACTGGAAGGTAGGGTACCAATTTGAATTTTTTCACCACAGACCACGAACGTCTCGGTCGCGCTACCAACCTCTCGTTTTAATTTTTTTGAATTTGTCTGACAGGTAGGGAAATTGTATGGAAAGCGGACCAAGACATTTACCTAAAGAGTGTCAATGGGTCCATAGTGCTCAGCGGCAAGGAAGGCACCTACATCGATGTCAAGCGCATTCCGATCGCCAAACTCGACACCAAATCTTATGTCACCGCACAGTTTAAAATTTGCGTGTGCATGCCGCAGGGCAAATTGTTCAGGGTGCCCGTGGTCGACGCAAACGAACGTGTCTATTGCCATCACATTAACATGTCCCCGCAGTATAATCCGTGCATTTAAATGTTTCCTTGTTTGTTGTATATTTGTGTATCATAAAACCAGCGCAAATATGTTTTATTTGAATGGACGTCTTGTCTAGCACGTCCCATTTGTTGTCGAACCCGTCAAAGCGCAGCAAAAATTCATATCAGGTGGTGATATCACTGCCTTGTTGGCCGTTTTCTAATAAAGAAATCGCGATATATAAAGTGTAGATATTACTATATTAAATAAGAACTGTAAACCAAGTATCCGTCTTTGATTTCGCATACCACATATGTTATAATTATATATCTTAGAAAATTAACGTATATCCGGTAGAAAATTCGAGAATGAAGAAATGCAGCGACCAGATCGGTCTGTGATTTTCGGTCGTTGACTGTCAAACTTTTTAAAAAGCTAAATTTTGTTCAATACATATTGCATTAACAACGAAAATCTTAAGAAGGCGGGTTTAAGTAACAACGTCTAAAAACGTCAGATTTGTACATCTGTCAGAACGGCATAAAATAAGTTTTGCTTTAAAATTTTCCGTAAACATCCGAGGCAGCAAGATGGTGGAGGAGTTTCGCGTTCGGTTTTTCGTACGGTATTTTTGTTATTGTTTTTTTAACGGTATCGAATTTTGGTTTAATTTTAGATGCCCGCATTGCACAACCCGGCATTCGCAGGGGTAATATATTATTACATATTTTATACTTACCCGTCACACGTGATGTTTGTTTTAGAACAACCCGTTCACATGGCAAATGTACAGAAAAAATTATGGGGTAAGTCCAAACAATTTTAATCTCAAATAACTTTTATTAAGTAATATAAATTAAATAATGTAAGGAGTATTTTGTACATTGGTTACAGTTCTTTCCTCGGAATGTATCGTTCTCGATATAGAGGTAACTACGCTCGATAATTTTTCATTTTTTGATACAGTTTATTTACAAAACGCGGCGAGTAATCTTCAAATATACCTCTGATATGATCGATTATAAGCAAAAAAAAAATCGCTACTACGGGGCGTCTACGCTTTATTTTATAAAAGTTTCGCTACGTTAACTATTTCAGGTAATTTTTTTATTGTTCAAAATTGATAGATCACTTGCGGATCAATTTTACTTGGAAGACAAAAAGGCATTTTCAATATATAGAATGGTCTTGGTTCTCATAATGATGAGGGTCCCTTTTTTATGTAAGATCTCTGTTAAATACAGAACCTTGGTCGTTCCATTGCTTAGAAAAAATAGTTTTCTCAGTTTCGGTTGCATTCTGTACGTAACAGCAGGCAATTCCGCTGGTACTTTTTTTTCCAGCCTAGTTAGTAACTAGAGGAATACTTACAATAAACCTCTGGCGGCACACGAACATATCAAATGGCAAATTAAGCGATTGAATTTAGTATTGTATTGTCAAAGTTAGTATCACAATCGCCAAAAATTTTTTAGGTTGGGGTCGTACTCCCCTCAAACATTAACATTGCAACCGGCTCACGCATTACCTTCGTCATGCCCTTCGTAAAGCCAAAAATCAGGAACACCAACTACCAACAACGCTATGTATAAAACCTCGCGTACGACTCTCTGAACGAGATCGATCGGAACACATCATCTACCTACCTAAAAACAGACCATGCACTTTACAAGTATTTACTACGAGGCGAGACGCTCCTGTTTCTTCGGTTGTGGGGTTTCTTTTTTTTTATTGTTCTCTCCGCCATTTCGTCACGATGATAAGGCACGGGAGACAGCTACAGACACAGACCGTGCAGTGTGAGTGACCAGATTTATCACAGTAAATGGTGGTTAGACTAGACTACGACATTATTGTACAGCTAATTTTCAAACATAGCTCGTATCGTTTAAAAAAAAAAAGAAAAAAACGCTGTCCGGAATTTCGCGTTTTTCACTTCGACTCGAAGAACCAAACGAAAGAAAACAACAAACTTGAAAAGCGTATTAATAGGGATTGATCAAGCAGTAACTTCTACTTTAATGAAACTACTTTATTCGTAACTGCTCTACTACAAGTGCAACTGCGACATCGGTAGGCGTACTACTTAGCTACACACGGATAATACATTCTACATCCACTAAATCGCTAAGTAACTATCATGAAAACCGTATAGTTGTCCATTTAACTACAGAAACGCTTATTACGAAGTACAACGTCTAAGAACGCCTAGTGTATGTGTGTTTAAGTGTGTGAGTGTGACAAATTAGTCATCGGATAGTGTACCTTAGTCGCCTAGTAGTTGCTCGTGTGTTTGCCGACCTATGCGGTTCTATTTGGAAACGTGTTACCAACCAACGCGACCCTCTCTCACTGAGAAAACTCCCGTCCAAGTATTTACAGGTTTACATCTTAAGACTTAACGCGTTTTGTTATAAAAAATAGAGGGTTCGTTCTGCCGCGTTCACAACTCTTATTGCTTCTCAACTGGGTTTATATAATAATGAATACGGGGTGGGGGGAGTTGCGCGCGCCGCTCCGCCGCCCATTTATAGTAAACGGTTTGGCACTGCCGAGCGGAACAACAACAATATGCGGGAGTATGGGAGCGCGGCGCCCTCCCCACCCGCCAACCTAAAACTAGTGCCTAAACTAAGCCCTTAAGGTATAAAAAACGTTATAAATACTTTAACACTAGCGTTATTGGGTGACGTGGCGACGCCAGGGGCGGATTCCGCCCATTGCTTTGAAATAACCAAGTATTGCCAAGGGGTGTGAGGTCAGTAGTGGGGTAGGGGGTAGGGAGAGGGTGTCGCTCTAATCGCCCTGTTTCGCCACGTCACCGACACAGTCAGGCTACAGATCACATATATTTTATAGTTCATATCCGTAATTCCTGTCCTTGAATATGTATTCGTAAAACCCCCATTTTATACAAGGTGTTTCGTAATAAGATTCTTGACGGTGCGATTCCTTGGATGATTTTAAGATAAAAAAGTTTATATCAAGGCAGGTCCGCAATCGCTCCTTATATAGAGAGGGCGTGAAAATAGTAAAAAAAAAATGGATTTTTGCCCCATTCTCACTGAGCCCACAATTTTTTTCGAATGAACTTACTCACGCCGATGTAATTTTCTAAAATAAATTACATTAAAAAAATATATGAAAAAGCATTTGTGTGCATATCGCTGTACACTTATGATTTTAAAAACTGGCCAACCCAAAAATATCCAGGATTTCATAACTATAACTAAATAACTAAAGAAAAATTTACAACGCAACCTTGAAAAAAAGTTCTTTTCCACGACTCCATGATATTAGTAACAATAAATTACGATTTTTTAACTTCTAATTTGATTCTAATGATTACATAAGATTTTTATTTCTTTTTGATTTTTTGCTTTAAACGCGGTATTAAAGATTATAAGATTAAAAAAAGTTTCCGTGCATTTTGCGCCTCTATCAAATTTCCACCAATTATCTAACGCAGTTTCGATGAAAATGACGTAAAACCGTTGTTTTTATTACCACACCCTGTATATCAAAAGTAAAGCGGACCTACATTGATATAAACTTAAAATCATCGGAGGAGTTAAACTCAGGATTAGCATCTTATTATGAAACACCCTGCATATAGAAATGAAATTGACACGTCGTCTCTTGTTATTCGAATGGAATGTCTCGATTTTAAAAGAAAATGTCTTTTCGATTACGAAGCGTTAGAGGAACGACAATGCGTTTTAGCGGGCGTTTCGACGTCTCACGCAACCAACATCAGTAAAAAAAATACGACACGAGAAATGGTGGATTGGAGTGTTTTCTGTAGGGCCTCGTTAAGACCACTAATTATTCAAAGGGTTATTTATTTGTTCCATTTTTTTTTACTGACGAGCCTAGCGGACAACCGAATCGCTGATTCACGGTTGAGTGTTTTTTTTTATTGGAAAGGAAAACTGCCAAAGGCAAGTGAGGGCAGAGCTGCTCTATTCCTAAGTACTTAATTATAATAATACTTTATATTTACAATGAGTACACTATATATACTGTTTCTTTGAAGGAATGCGGGGCATCGGTGGTGCCGTACAATTTTTGAGAGTCGAACGGCAGCTGCCTACGCTTATCAACTATATTATGAGATCGGTCAAACGACAGAAAATTATGTTTTGGGGTCGATATCATTCGATATTTCCGAGCATAGAAACAGTAAAAATAATGGCAAACGGGTGTATCACGTCCTGCGATAATTGATAATTACTTACTACTAACCCTAAAATTAATAATAATAAGACTTAAGTAAATCATAGAATACTAAATGGGATGAGCGACACATCGAACAGATATGTCTCGAGGATTGAAACGCTGTCAGTCGTCAAGCTACAATCAGTAACGAGTTACTTTGGTTCTTCCTTGTCTTTTTTGTTTTTTGTTGAAAATGTTTTTTTTTAAGTACATCGAAACACAACCCGACGAAGTGAACGGTTCGCGCCGTTTTATTGCCGAAAGTGAGAGACGCCAATATTAACATAATACTGATTTATTGCGAGTTATTGCTAAATGCCTGACGGCGGCGGCACTGTCGCAAAAGTGAGATTCCTTCCGTACATAGTCGCGTAAAACGACCGATAGATAATCCTATTTCGTATCACATTTAAAATAATTATTAAGTAGTAATAGTAATAGTAGGCACACGTCCTGTAATCTCGTGTGTGTGTGTGTGTGTGTTTGAAATACTCGTCAAGTTCGGTAGGACCACAGCTTTTTTTTTTTTGATAATGTCTCCGGTAAAATATTGAAGTTCGGAACGGTGTGAGCAAACGGGGTGGGTAGTTCAAACGTACATGCCGACGCCGTACATGGAGCCCCAGTCCACTCCCTGGAAACTCGACATGTCCACGTTGGTCAGGTTGTAGCCTTGGTAGGGGCTGTGCGCGACCTGGGGGGCCGCCATGGCCGGGGCGGGAGCGCCCGCCCCCGGCGCGGGGTTCGGATTACCGCCGGACGCGGCGGCCGCCGCCGCCCCTATGCCGGCACTTACCGCAGAAATTGGATAAGGCGCGTATCTGGAACAAAACAACATTCTTAGTCAAATCTAGGGTGTGTCCCACTTAAGAACTGTACAGCCTTGTAAAACCTTTGTTTTATTTTTTTTTTTGTTGGATAGGTCTCTGAAAAGTCATGTCCAACTGGATTTTTAAAAAAATGAATTGGCAACAAATTCTTATTCAGGGGTACTTACAACCTAACTATACCAATTTTTATAATGTTTCGATACAGGGTGTTTGAAATAGCGTTTACGTCCCGCTTAAGGCTGTACATTGTTGTAAAATTTTGATTACGGTTTGATTTTGTTTTTTTTTTTGGATGTGTCGGTCAAAAACCTTATGTTTCTTATTACACCAAGCTGAAGTCATGACTAACTGGGACTAATTTTTGATGTCAAGTGTCAAAGAATTCTTATTCAGGAGTACACAAAACCTAACTATACTAAGCTTAAGCACTATTCCTGTAGAACAGTTGTTTATGGCTCAATTTTATTCTTTCTTTTTTGCTGGAGAGATCTTACTAAGAGAAACGGTTTTTCCGTATACCATCGACTAAAGTTTTTCGAAGCGGGAAATCGAGATTCGTGTTCAGAAATACCTAAAAGTAACTGAACGAATGATAAAAGAATGATAAAGCTTTAAAAAAATAAATATTGTAAACCTTGTAAATAACGATTATTTTGTATGTGATTTTAATATCATACAAATTTTAATTATACCAATTTCAAATATAATGATAAAAAAGACTTTAAAAGGGACACTGTTTTTTTAGTGCGTTTTTGAAACGAACAATAAATAAAGAATTTACGAAAGTGTACAGTTTATAAGTGTACTATATAAAGACATACCAGTGCCGCCCACAAAGATATTAGAAAACCACTCGTCTTCCCACTCTCTTTACCATGCAACGGAAAACGAAGCGTTGATTTGAGGAATAATTTGGTAAAATACGCGTAAAAGAAAATTTTTAAAAAAGTGCATGGTGTATCAGTGCCTAAATAAAGAGGGTAGCGAAAATGTTTCGAGTTGGATTAGGAGTATGAGTATACGGAATGAATATGCATCAGTTGAAATAGTACTTAAATTGTCATGAATTGTAGGGGATTTAGCTTGATTGGATGGATAGAAATCCTTGACGTGTATAGTTAGCTTAGCCAATTAGCATAGAGTGTATTGATTGGAATAGTTGTATCCAGGGAATTTCTTTGTTCGTTCATTAATGACAGTTCAGCCTTACATAAAGGGATATGGCATGGGAAATTTTTGTTTTTTTGTTTTACGTGCGCAAAAGTTATATAAACTATATAAGCTGTTTACTGTAAATTATTTTGTTTTCTGTCATAACTGTTTTATCCATTCCACATTTGCATTTCGTCAGAATCACCCAAAATTTATATCAAATATAAAAAGAGTAAACCCATAAATACAACTTAACCCCAATTAAAGTAGATACGACCGTTCACGTGTCATGTTTTTTTTTAATTCTAGGCGTTAGTCAGAGGAGTTTTTATTTTACTTAATCTTAGGAAACATACAACAAAATTTTAATTGTGTAAGTTTGTTAACAATTTGAAACTAATAAATATGCAATAAAGGAAGAAATGTGACAAAAAAGGTGTATACCAATGTAAGGATTTTGCAGTAACATAATAGTATATAGTAATATAGTAGCACATAGTAATCAGCGGTACCATATACTAATGTTGTGTTATGTACTCTGTTTAATATTTTGCTTAATTCTACCAACCAACAAAACACTATTCACACATTTCATTCAATTCGTTAATTTTCTTAATATTTATTTGAATTGGGTTTCCGGTTTCGTTTTTGTTATTTTACATGTAACATCTAGAATGCCATAATTCTAAGATTTTTCCATAAGTAAGCCAGAACAAAAAAGACACAACAACTTACTTAACGCCTTAAACTTAAAAAGCATCGCCTTAAAAAAAATAATGCAGTTTTTGCTAATCGATTTTTCAAACTTTGATCAGTTCCTGAACGAAAACAGGAATGAAACCCCCAATATCCACAACTTTTTTTTATTCGGATGTTATTCTGATACGCAACCCTCTTTCAAGGAACTTAACATTAATCTTAATAACCAAATTCTACTAATCCAAAATGAAAAGTCTCAGAGAATAATAGATCATAATTTAAAATGGGATAAACATATTCAAGTTACCAATAAACTGTGTTTAAAGAACGAAAGAATTTTTTTAACGTAAAATATCTAAAAATTCTATATTCAGCTCTCATATAACCGCATCTTACCACCTACGGTATAAATAACCGGTGGTGGAGTTTTTGCAACTCATTTATAACACCTGGAAATTGTACAGAAATTGCTACTTAGACTAATTTTAAGGAAAGGTAAACATTATCCATCAGACGATCTTTACCGGCAGTGTAAAATTCTAGATTTGCGTCAATACAAAAAAAAACAGAGACACTATCAGACATCGATCACCTCCCACCATACCAGAATAAAAAGTCACACAGTCCGCCTACTGAAAGTTAGTTTTGGTTAGCCCAACGCCCATTTCTCTATATAAGTCCCAAAATACACGCCGAATTGCTAAACGAAATAAAAAAACATTCGTTGCTAAGCACTAATAGAGAAAAAAGTAAATGTTATTGATATAAAACATTAGTATTGTACTCCATATTCAATATTCTTGATTCGTCCAAATCTGACATTAGGGATATAACACAATCTATCTTATTCATAATTTTGATCAACCCCGAATTTAACACATTAAACTACACAAGTTATACACTAATTCCATAAATTTCCAAGTAACAGACTTGTGCGGTTGAAGTAGTTTTTTTTTGTTTGCTTTTCAATAATGTAATATTTGTATTAATTCATGTAACTAGCCCACTAACAAGGTGTACATTTTGTGGGTAATCGTTTATTTGTTTTTGTTTCCTGATTATTTCTTTCACACAATACACCGTGATCTCCCTCAAATTATTAAATGTTTTATAGAATTGCGTTTTGAATGAGGAGTAAGTAATCATAATGTTTTTTGATCTAGTCTAAATAACAAAATTGAGGTTACTTCAGGTGAAACCAGAAACTACATTAAATTATTTTAACAATACAATTGTTCACAACCCTATCGACTAACCGAATCGCATATTTTCGTGGGCAGTAATTTGATTGCGGAATTAGATAAGAGATAGACGGTTACTATTTAAGAGATAGACCGAGTGGGTTACTGACAGATCAGGCATAATACATTTTATATATGGAATTTTCCTTTTATTCTTACTTAAGAATAGGTAAAGAAGACGAAGATCCCGACTTGTGGTTAAGACAGGTTAAGAGATTAATCAATGCGAAGAGTATCTGAGACTGATCTGTACAGGACATATAACGCACAATACAATAGGGACAAAGGAGTATATGAGTTTTTAATATCAAATATCTATAAAAATAAAATTGACAATATACAGAGCAATCGTGGAATCAATAATGACACGCGGATCAGAATGGTGGCAGCTAAATGAATCAACGAGGAGGAAAATAGATGCTGTAGAAATGGATTTTCTGAGAAGAACACGTCGCATATCTAGGTTGCAAATCGAATACACAGAACAACTGTACGAATTGAAACAAGACCGTTGCTATGGTATTGGCATGTTAGACGAATGGAGGAAAATAGACGGCCAAGGAAAGTTTTGATTAGTTACTGAATATTTTTTGCTCGTCTTGCGGAACCTACCTGTAACTTGCGAGATGGGGATACGCCCCGAACAGTTTTCCGTATCCGGCCACCGCTGCCGATTGGGCCTGTGCGGCCGCCGCCGCCGCCGCAGCTGCCTGTACCGGCGTCAGCGGCTGGACGGCCGCCAACGGATTCACCGCCGCCACCGCGCCCGCCACCGGCGCCGCCATCCTCATTCCCAAACTGGTCAGCATCAGTCTTTTGCCCAACAGCTGGGCATTCGCCTGTACCGTCTCCTTGGGCTGCGCCTTTTTGCATTCCACCTGCAACGATCACCTCGTATAGTCTGTTTGTAGGAGGGTAACGATAGAAAGATCTTGAGGTCTTTTAATTCGCCTTTATTTTTATTTATTTAGACACTCTCTATCCGATCGACATACTTGGATACCTTACATTCTAAGATTGACCTGCTAACTATCATAAATCAGAACCACCGACTTGTGGTTGCTAAAGCTTTTAGTTCCTTAATATCCTAACCAAAACTAAAACGTGAGATAACTCTAAAAAAAAATTAGTGTTCAATGTAGGACAAGATGAAAATTATCGAGCGTTTGACCCGCGGAGAAAAAAATTCTGCCGTAGCAGGAAAACAGGACAAAATCGAAACTAGTAGTAGTGTGTGGTATGTGGTGTTCAGTTGATTACGTACAAAGATGGCGCAAACGGCGCTCTATATCTTGTGGGAAAGCGGCCGCTGTTCCCGAAACTGTGTGTGATCATTGATTAAAAAATGTTTGGCCGAAAATCAGGGAAGGATACCAAGACAGCGACATATTCCATACTATTTTTCAAAATCACCCCGGACAAGACTATGAGATTTAAAGGTGAAAAATGCACTGGCCGGATTGGTAAAGACTTTGCTTGTGACATACGAGAACATAAAAGCGTGGACGACAGGTGAACCGTTCAAAAAGATTGTCCGCAAATGGAATTTGAAGTTTCCTGCGCTAAAGAGAAAGATTCTGCTTGTACTGGATAATTTAAAGTCAATAAAGCTAGTGTTTCTTCCGGTCAATACCACAGCTATTCTCTCCAACTTTGATATCCATTTTAGAGAGATTCAAGTTTTAAATATTGCACACGTCTACAGTCGTTTTGATGCTTGAAAGTTGTTGCTAGGCATGATTTTTAAATGAATTGATTTTAATGAAATTAAATGTGATTTGACCACACTGGATATTAGATTTCTCTGCAAAGCAACAGCGTCGGCGCGGAAGCGTCAATAGAGTGTTGAAACATGTTTATGCGCAGTTCGGGTGTATTGGTCGTCGTTCGCGGTTGTTGACTTCGTTGATGCGAATTTCTAGTATCCTAGAAAATATAAATATGAAAGAATACATTATGTGAACAATCAAAATAACTGGCAAACTATAATTACTTCTTTTGTGAAAAATGTATACCGCCCCTATTTTGACGATCAGGACAAGTCTTGGGCTCCTCATATCGTTTGTTCCGTTTGCACATTGAAACATTAAGAAAATGTAAAAACGTAGGGTGATACTCTCTTTTGTTACTGGTGAGGCTTTAAATGCTTCTACTAAAATAAATTGAGATCTGAAAATAATTTCGGAGGTATCTGCGGCTCACGTCCTCTGTTTGAATACTAACAAAACGCAAATGTTATTATTTGGAATTAAGAGGGAAGATATTGTAAAAAACGGTGACTTGCGGTTTTCTAGGCATGTTGGCTCGGTGTTACTAAAATTCTTCATCGTATATTCATAAACATTTTCTCAGTAAAGAAGTCAAACTTAAACTCGGTGATATGTTACTTTTATCCCATATCGCTTATTGCAGTCTCGTCTTATTGGCCAGATAAGGAGATTGGCGGGATAAAGAGAGACTCCAAAGACTTCAGAATGCTCGTATTCGTTTTAGTTACAATCTCAGAAAGTATCAACATATTATTATATACAGTTAGCCACCTTTGTTTTTTTTTACTAAACTCCAATAAGACCCCGTCGTACTTGTTTTATAAACTTTGCAGAGGAAATGATATTCATAATCGAGACACCCGTCATTGTTCAGTAACTTTCCAGAGATATTTTAGCTATAACGCAGTTAAATTACTTAATGAAATACCTTACGCTATGATGTCTCTCCCCACAATAAAGTCCTTCAAAAACGTGTTAATAATGTTTATTAGGCCCGCCAGTATCTAGCAAAAGCGTATGAGTTTATGATGTCCGTCTAGTCCTTGTATTTGCAATGTATATACGGATGTGTTTTGTTGACAATTATGGTGTTGGTGCTCTTGTTCTTGTTCATTTTCAATAAAGGCAGATTATTATTATTATTAAAAGTTTAATCTTTGGTGTTTTTTGAAGCTTTTGTATGACCATAGCCTAGTTCCTAATGGACCAGATGTACCGATACCTACCCCTCCAGAGGAACTAGAAAAGAATCAGAGGAACTTAATTCAAATGACACAGATTTCAGAGAGCTCGAAGTGTTTAACCAGAGCGAATTAAATGATTTAATTTGAGATTTGCACCTTGCAAAAGATGCATCCGAATTGTTAGTGTCCAGACTTCTTGGCCCAGGATCGCGAAAGAGTTATGTCAATATTTTACTCAGGAAGGACCGCTAGTGTATTGGAACAATAATCCTGACATAGTTTCAAAATTAGGAAACAGAGCTGCATCAAAAACTGGAACGTATGAAAATTTAGGACTTCTTTTGAAGAAAATAAATTATCAAGAACATCAGTGGATGCTTTGTGGTGACCTTAAATTGCTGTGCATGATCCTAGGAGGAATCAGGAGGGTGGGAGGGGGGGGGGGGGGCGTATAAAAAATTTCGGGCAAGAGACAAAAATTGGACTCAAACTGAATAGCTCTCTGGAACAAGTCTTACACCAGGTAGCAAAATTGTATTAAGAGATAGATTAGTTGATCCCAAAAAAGTTTTGCCGCCTCTTCTTGATATCAAACTTGCTTCAAATATTTGTGAGAGAAATTTCCAGCCAAATCTGACGCCAAGATAGAAGAAGGTATTTTTGTTTGAACATGCATATGCAAAGACAAGGATTTTCAAAACACAATGACCAATGTCGAGAAAACCGGCTGGGTTTCATTTCAAGAAGTAATTGGTAAGTTTCTTGGGAACTCTAAGGACGAAAACTACGAAAGTATTGTTCAAAATATGTTACAACACTTTCATCGTCTAGGTTGTAATATAAATTTTTTTACTGAATAAAAAAATAAATTATTTTAGAAATATTGTTTTCTTTTTCTTATTGCTTGCAAAAAAAGCTTTCTTGACACAAATAAATGCATAGAATTTTTGAAATCAGTCTGTCGTTATAAACGATATCTACTATTAATACAAACGTCTTTCTTTGCGATATCCTCATATACTAGTATAAGTTAACTTTAAGAAGACTTAGTTAAGATTTGCAACACTCGAGCCATAGCGCCACATACTTGATATCTATATTTAATTAGTAAATGTATATCCGACTACAAAACTCACGAATATGTATGTGTTCCAAACTTGCAAATAAACAGTTTTCAGTAGTATGTGATGGAAGATCTACCAGTTTCCATTTACTCAACTGTTATAAATGAATTCCTCAGATACAAGGTGTGATACGTGACTTTATCGATTTCCCAGTCTCATAAAACCGCCACCGTTAATGCCACACCCCTTCAAATCCCGAAACGTCGCAACTCACCTTTTTGTTCTTAATGGTGTGGAAATGGATTTCGCACACGCGATCCACCACGTCTTCGTTCTCGAATGTGACGAATCCGAAACCCCGATGTCGCTTGGTCTGCTGGTCCATCAGCATCACCGTCTCTTCGACCTTCCCGAATTGGCTGAAGTAAGCTTTGACCTCGTCGGCGGACGTGTCCTGGCTGACGCCGCCCACGAAGATTTTCTTCGTCTTGTTGGGCTGCTTGGGCCTGTTTTTGGGCGTCGCGTGTTTCGGATCGATCTTTTTCCCGTCCAGGGTGTGTATGGGCACTTTTAGCACGTTTTCGACGCTCGACGGGTCCGAGAACGTGATGAACCCGAAACCGCGGCTTCTCTGCAAATAAACACCGGGTCACACCTTTGATGATATTTTGACACTCACTTACAGGGTAAAAGTGTAAATATAAAAGTTTGAAGATTTTTGCTCTATTATCTTATGCAAATGTCAAAAAAATAAATGACGACCCCAACCTGTCAAAATAACAGCAACATCATTTTTTTTAATGGAATGTCCTATTTATTATTAGCTTAAATCCCAGATCTTCCGTTCCTGATTTCAAAAACATATAGTTTATTGACATTTCATTTAGGCGTTTTTGAGATATTTCAGTTTAAAAATAATTTTCATTCGATTTGTGGATAGTAGCCGTCTTGGCTTTAAAATGGTCAAGTTTGCCTTGATAGCAACCATATTATTTATGTTTGCATACCGAGGAAGAAAAACGCCAAATAATAAAATTACATTATGCAAACAATAAAAATATTAATAATTAATGCTGAACATGTTCCACATAACCTCCATTATTTTCTATACATTGGACAATATTTCCTATTAATACATGAAGTGATAAAATCAGAATTTTCTTTGTTTAGATCTTGTAAAACGATATTAAGTTTTTCTCTTGTCACTCTTAAACTCGCAGGACTATTATAATAAATGTTATTTTTTAAGTGTCAAAAAAAAATGCCACAAGGATTCAGGTCGGGGTTGTTGGCAGGCTATTTGATAGTTCTTTGCCTACCTACCCAAAGTCTATATTTATTATTTAGGTAATCGGTAACTGGTTGGACATTATGTAGAGGTGCGCCATCTTGAATCCATATTAAATTTAAATAATTCCTAACTGGCACACTTCCAAACAACTGTTCTGTTGCAGATAAATTTAAATATCGTTGACCATTCAAGGAACCTTCGTATATAATTGGTCCGAAATCCATATTGTTTAACATACCACACTATACATTGGCTGACGTCCGTCCTTGCATTTTGCCTGCATTTCATGTGGATTATTGGTGGACCAAAAATGTTTATTCTTCCTAATAAATACACCTGCTGGTGTAAACTGGTCATACCTCATTTCCATCTTCTTGAGATTTTTACATTTCAGTGCAAAATTCGATCCTCTGCCTTTTATTCGTCGGTTAAATTTTGCAATGAAAGAAATTTACATGGGTGATATTTTAGTGTTATGGTTGCTATCAAGGCAGACTAGGCCATTTTTAAACAATATGGCTATTGTCCAGAAATCGAATGATAATTATATCTACAATTTTAGCTAATAATATCTAGGGCATTCCATTTAAAAAAAAATCATGTTGCTGTCATTTTGAGAGCTTTGGATCGTCGTTTGTTTTTTCTGACATTTGCATAAGGTAATAGAGCACACATCTTTAAACTTTTGTATTTACACTTTTTTTCTATCTTTCAAAATTAACGCTGTAGGTGGGTGTCAAAATATAATGAATAGCCCAGTACTAAAGACGGTCTCATTATTTAATAAATCATCCCTACCATTCGCAGAGGAGAGGTGCAGAGGAGCCCAACAGCTGAACGTTGATTAATTGCTATGCGAATGACCGGAACGAAGGATATTGATTTAATGTGGGCTTCTATTTTAACGTATGAGGAGACAAGAAAAAAAAAGTGCGTTTTTGATGACCTTCCTTGTTTACCTCAGCAATGGGGCTTAGCTCCTTTCTCTGAACACCACTTGCGTGATCGGTAGCGGTTACGGTTACATAGCTCGTGATTTGCGGAACCAAGAGATTGGTCCGCGATTTGCCACACAAATTCATAATTCTCGAGATCTTTGGTAAAATATGGCGGAACCTGACAGTATGTTCGTTCAGACAGAAATAGGCAGAGTGCTAGACGAAACTGCATAAACAATGGGACTTTGCAAACTACTCAAGACAAACCGTGAGCCATAACAAGTCACCCATGTCAGGCGGTGTGCGGTTGGGGTTTTGTCCAGACAGGACCGGTGCACCACCAGGGACGATAAATGCTGTGGTTAGTGACACCACCCTGTTGTCTGCTTCCTGAACGTAAGCTCTTAGTTTCGGGTATTTTTTTAAGAATTGGGATAGTATGAGCGTCTTCCATTGCTCCATTGTGGGATGTGCTGTCAATGTTTTCGAAGTTGTCTGCTGTCTAGACGTTGACTGTTTTTCTTGCATTTTGAAGGTCACAACATTTAGGGATTGTTGACGGCTTCTTTCGCTCTCGGAGGAACATTGAGGTGTTTTTACAGTTAGTGCTACTTGGCTATTGCCTGTGACTCTGCCAGAAGGTTGGAAGCATTTGAACTCTGGCTGTTCATATTTTAGAGAGACAGTTACTAACCAAGAAGTGGTACGAAGAATGAATAAAGAGCCAGAATTGATAGACAGTGCCTTGGTTATATAATGAGGAACTCAGACGGCAAAATCAACAGCAAAAGAAGAACGGACGGAATATCTTGGTCGGCAAATCTAGAAACGTGGTACGGCAAGAGATCAACAGAACCCTTTCGAATTTCCACTAACGTCCGAAACGCTTAGGCACTCAGGAGAGAAAAAAGTTGATTCTGTGAAAGAATTTTTTCGAAAAATTCGATGGCACGCGCAGCCTTCGCAATATGCCCGCGTTTATCTTCGTCTTTGGATGTTAGCGCAGTTTCGGTGTCGTCTGCGACCAAAAATGACCCCCGCCACTGGGATCAGTCTAAAATCGCACTTGTTCCTGCTTGAGTAAGGTTATTTCGTATAGGAGGGATTGCATTGGAAGTTATGCAACTACGCGATTTATACGCTCAAAAAGTCATGACACAATTGTGCGCGTTTGGCTTTCATCGATTCGCCGGGAATTATCAGTATCGTACGGAAGTCCAACTTGAATCACCCATTTTTTAATTACAATTTGCGATAACTTAGCCTCTAACTCTACTCTGAGGACATCTTTAGGAGAGCATTGGATGGAACTCGGGGTGGAATAAAGATAAATGGAGAAAATATAAGTAACATCCGTTACGCTGACGACGCTGATTTGATAGCTAACAGTATGGAAAACCTACAAGAACTAATATCGTCTAGAACTTAATGCCAGAGAGATAAAGTACATGGTAATCAGCAAAACTCGTGTTCGAAAGAGTTGAGAAATTCTGTGGAGATCAAATGTCGCATAGAAAAAGCTCGAATCGGATGCTTCTGCATCTATTGCAGAGTTGGACAATATCGGGGGCTATGGAGAAACGAATTAATGCCTTTGAGATGTCTATTTACACACAACAAATAATGAAGTCCTGAACAGAATGAGATGCCGACCACAACAATTGAAAAACGTAAACTTGAATACTTTGGGCACGTCATGAGAAACGAAAGTAAATATATCCTATTACAAAAGTAGAAGAAAAAAGGGGCCCGAATAGAAGGAGAATCTCCTGGTTGGCAAACCTCCGCAAACGGTATAGTGCTACCTCCACCGAGCTAGTCAAACTGCCAAAGTTCGAATAACGATGATGATCGCCAACTTACCTGCGTGACGGGATCTTTCATGATGAGAACGTCGGTCACGTTGCCGAACATTCCGAAGTACTCTTTCAGCTTTTCGCTGGACGTTTGCCAGCTCAACCCGCCGACGAAGAGTTTCCCGGGGGCTGGGTCGTTACCGTTTCCGTTGCCCACCTGACCGCCGATGGGTGTGCTCCGACCGCTCGAGTCGGAGTGCGACGCCTTGATGCCGGCCACCATCGTGCCGACGTCCAGCAAGCCCTTGCCCTCGCCCATCGCGGCGCTGTGGAAAACAAACACTTGTTAATACTAGCAGATCACCCTAGATTGTTTAAACATATAATCCAGCGATTTCGCTATGAAGACTTAACGGAGCAGTCACAACATCGATATAACTCATGTCATATATTTTATATACTTAAAAATATACTTTTCAATGGCTGATTTAAGAAGAATTAGCATTTCAACGGGAGTTTTCAAATATGTTTTAGCAATGGTTGCAAACCGAATATTAGATGCACCATTTTCTAAGGGGCAGTTCCCAGAGTAGTTGAAGTCACCTTTGGTGGTTCCGTTGCTGAAGGTTCCAGGCACTAACCAGCGTTTTAATTGTAGACCAGTCAACACTGCGCCCATGTACGAGAAATTATTGCAAAGGACGAGCTGCAGCGACATTGTGACCAAAACAATTTAATTGGACATTTCTGCGAGACTGTGATGCTTTTGTTATGACAATAGTTTTGTTTTCACTGTGTTTTTGGATTTTGCGACTGTCTATAGGTATACTTCAATAGATAAGTTAGAAACTCTAGGTATAAAGCACTGGATTGATTAAAATCTTGTGCGGAAGAACACAAAAAGTGAAGTATGAGTTAACTGTGTCTGGAATCGATCTTGGTTAAGCATCTGGTACCACAGGGGGCTCTTACATAAACGATATATCCCGAGTTGTGAAAAACAGTAAAATTACATTATTTGCAGCAAGATATCAATGACGAAGTCGGAATTCTGGTTGTATGGCAAAAAACATAAAGGAAAGTTTTAATATTAATGTAAATGGCGTTAATTTACAGTGGGAGAAACATAAAACATTTGGGAATTATGGAAATTAAACTTTGGTGCACATTGTAATTAGAGAAATGAGAAAGTTTTCATAAAGGGTGGGTTTTATATGTAGAGCTGGCAATTTAACAACTTACACAAAATTGTTACTTTACAATAGCTTAGCGGCGTCACATCAGCGATATTGTCCAACTTTATTCTTTGGTATACCTAACGACAGACTAACTGAATTTCACAGAGTACAAAACAGAGCAATGCGCATAATTCTGAAATATAATAGAGATACACCTGTGATGATTATGTTAAATGTGTTCCAAATATTAACTGTAAAGCAAAAAGTAATGTTTGTTGCTTTTATATTTATATTATTATATTATATATTAGATAAAAAATATAGTAATGCCGCCATATAATGTAATATAATATAATAATAATAATATAATTGGGTTAATTAACTTATGATTATAATACTAGAAACCGTACTGATTTCATATTAACTGTAAAGCAAAAAGTAATGTTTGTTGCTTTTATATTTATATTATTATATTATATATTAGATAAAAAATATAGTAATGCCGCCATATAATGTAATATAATATAATAATAATAATATAATTGGGTTAATTAACTTATGATTATAATACTAGAAACCGTACTGATTTCATCCTAGTCAATCAATGTAAAACTACACATATGTTGAATACTATTTTAAATAAATTGCTGCCAGATTTTAATCGGCTTCCAAAAAATATTAAACAGTGTTATAGTTTAAAAACATTTAAATCAACAAAAATCTATAGAAATTTTATTCTGATTTTTTTAATAGTTTTTTTGTTGTCAAACAGTTTTTTTATATACTATGTACGCCTATACTTGTTATAAAAGAACAGTATTGTATTTTTTGAATTTTGTTGCTAGCTGGTACATTTACAATGTAAATATGATTGTTTTTTGTTATAGCTTTTATGCTAAATAAGGTGTTTATTTATTCAGTTATTTACTGAATAATCGACTACTTCACCTGGCCGGTCTTACTATATGGGGCACAAAAGTAGTTAATAAAGGAAAAACATTCGACTTTCAAAATGGGGCCCCCCTCCGTAAACTACTGAAAATGTCATAATTGTAGTAACATATTTATTCTTTGCAAGGAAATTCAATTATTGCTAAATAGTCTAAAAGATTAACATTATATTACTACAGTTAATTTTAAAAGAAAAACCTACTGCAAAACAAGCAATAATCTGGTTTGTGAAATGTCTAGCCCTAGAACCGATGAGAAGGCAAAAAGTGAGCTATAGTCGTAAGATTACCTAGTTGTTTCACAACAAACTTCACAACTTTGAAAAGGAACTAACCTCATCATAAAGAGGACATTTAAACATTACATTAAATACCGTTTACCTTTCGTGTAGAATACAAACAATGCAAGTTGTATGAAGAGATATATTAAAGCTAAGGAGTATATTGGAAAACAATCAAAAATGCTTAAGCTGTTGTAGAGCATCCTGTAGTGGGATTTTTTTTGTATTTAATAAGGATGTCAGCAAGACAGAGAACCCTTATAATCACTTGAGGATAATGACTTCTAACAAGAAGGAGATAGAAGTGATTTATATCAGTCTTTTTGCTTTGTGTTTGGTTAAGTTACGTTCTAAATTAAGTTACTAAAACTAGGTAATATGATCAAATAAAACTTAAGAGTATCGTTTACATTAAAAAGTAATAAGCAGTTTCGGAGTTACGTTCGGCTTTTTATTTATTTTACCTGCTAGGCGACATAAATTATTAGGAAATTAATCAGAGCGCCTAGTTGTATAGATGATTTTACAGACAGCGGTTTGTTTTCAGATTTTGCCGATTTGTGGATTGGTTTTGCTCGATTGGTGCTGGATAGCTTTCTGCACCGCCAAATGTTTCACGCGAACTGACATCGTTCTGTAAGTACCTCGACCTAAATTTAATTCTTAAATGCCATCAGGCAAAATTTTGTCCATAAATTCATGCCTTGGAGGCTTAAGAATAGGATCGCAATTTTACAAAACAATCCTAAACGGATTATTATAAGGCAGTAAAGAACACATTTATTTATTCTTTGACCCGCTATGCAAAAGATCATCATACATTTTTTGATGTTTTCATTACTTGTCATACTACCATCAGCAGTAGTAGGATTAGTTTGTTGACTATTATTATTAAGAAGAAATTTAAATAAATATCTTCACAATATCCTTGGCATTGATGGGTAACTTTATCTAAATAATACACCAACCGTCTCGTACGTTCATCAATCATGGACGCTACATTTAATACCAGGATGAGAAAATAACATTCTTACTAAATGAACGGTTGGACAAGCTCGCACCTATCATTAAGACCGCTTGTACGTGGTAGGTGAATATAATCAAGAATTTTGCGATAGGCAGGTATGCAAAATCTATACAGTCCACCAGGATTTTTGTGACTCCGACAGATAAACATTCAAAACATCATATCAGACAGTTGCTAGTTCATAGTTGCTCACGATTGAACCTGTACAGCTATTTTAAAAGACAGGTAAAAGCAATCAATTGGTGCATAATGAAAAGGTTTTCATCCTGGATTTTGTGGAGCTTACATATACATTTGAAAAATGTAAACTTTAATGTCCAGCACATTTTCATAAAAATGATTTTCTAACGGCCGTTGAGAGTTTGGCACGCAAAATCTGACCTATCCTGTATACGGTTAAACACAGGGTGTTTCAAAAAGCTAGGGCCAACGCTGCGCGAAGATTAGTCATCCCAAAAAAACTGAGAAAGGTTCATATAAAGGTAGGTTCGGTCACACACTTAGTTTCCATGGTACGTGGTGTTAAATATATATTTTTTAAAACAAATCCTCACTGTCATTGATGATGGACTAGGACTAGATTTCGATAGGATAGAAAAAATAAATGTTTATAAAAATACGTTTTGTCAATTTAAAAGTAAAATAGTCACTGGCGTAAGTCTCTTTGAGAATACTATGGTACTGGACTTTGCAATATCAATCCGGTTAACGCAAAATTAGCAATTATAAAAGTCGTTTTTTTTTTAAACTTGAACATTGGAAAGTAAACATTTCCGAATCTACGTCCCACATAGCATAAAGAATATTAATATCAATAGTTTTATGTCCAGAATGTGCTTGAATTTATATTCTTACTTCTATATTCTAGCAAGGTTCGACGAATGTAATATATTTATGTACGTTCTGTTTTCGTATTTTCGAGCAAGAGACACACGGCATTATCTATAGTTATATAGAATAGAATCAATAATAAAACAATAAAATCTTTACAAAAATATTTGCACATAAAGTTGTATAGTTTTCACTATACAATTTAGACTAATGAATACTCTTAGTTTTCATGGAGTAAGATTCTTTAAAACGTTCCATGTACAATTAATTTCATTTTCAAATATGTTAAAAAATATATTATGTGATATGTTTGTCGACTCCTAAAAGATTCCTAATATTAGTGCATAGGATATGCTGCTTGTGGCCAAAGTGCTAGGTGAAGGGATAACCAAACTGAATCCGTTTTTGTAATATTTAAAAGTATTCACAAAAATATTAAGTGAAGCTCTTTACAATGATAAGCCATGAAACTCGAAAACCCTGGGAAAATTAACGATACTAATGTAGCCAAAACAGGTGAATCGACGAGGTAATTTTATTTTACTAAATATTAACATTAGCGCCTTCCATTCAGGCACGAATAAGTTCAAATGTCATTTTTTGTTAACATGCCTTTGTTCGGATTTTGTTAATCTGCTTAAGGAAACGAATTTTTCATTCTTTTTATTTATTTTTTTTTTATGTATTTTGAATCTCATTGTTATCTCTACAATGGCCGCCCCCACAGAATCGAGACATCTTTTTGGCTTATGGGCAGAGTCAAGTGTATCCCAATAGCCGTGTGTCTCGCCAGATTCCTTTGGACGCAATAGGCTGTTGATGTAGATACCAACATACTTGGAGCATTTCGAAGGGATCCTACGACATAAGAAAGTGGCTACAGGTCTTGATATCTCTATATGAAAAATAGGGTCAGTTATCAATGCAGACGAAAAATGTGGTTTCTGTTATACATCAATGCAAATAAATGTATGTCTCCAATATTGCTAAAAAACTTACAGGTGCCTTATAAAATTGAAAATGTCTTTTTAATTTTGACAGGTTACAGGAGTTTGCCCGTACAGGTTGTATACCGTTGCAAAGATTAATAAGTTTTAAAAGTACTTGAACAACATTTTCGCATTTATTACTTTTTTTTATATAAGGTTAAAATACCTTCGAAATGGGCCTATCTATATGCCCACCAAAATTGGCCAATCCCCCGCCAAACATGCCGAGAATATATTTCCAATATCCTTATATGTAAAAGTCTATTTTAAGCACATTCTAGGTATATTAAGTAGCTATGTGGGGTTAATATGGCCTTTTTGTTTTGTTTGATGACGAATCTCCAGCTGAATGTTGGCGATTATTATTTTAAACACCCTGTACATGGGTGGGTGTGTACGCAGGACCCGAAACAGTTTCAAGAGCAAGCGCCAAGACGAGCTGCACGAGCTGCTGCTCCATCCGATCAACAGGAAGGTGAGTCCCTACACGCGCACACACATAATCAATACGTTCCCCCCTTGTCCGTTAGACGTCGCGACGCGCACTCTCGCACATGCATTAGTGATGCGGGGCGCGGTCGCGATCTGTCGCCATGGAAACGGGACGGTGAGCGAGCGCGCCGGCGGGGTGGCGTCGCGACGCGCACATCACCCCCCCGGTGTCGCCCTCTCAGTCGTCTGGTCGGACGCGTCGCGACGCGTATCGCGCCGCGCCCGTCTCACGTCCTTTTGTTCGTCCGCCGCCTCCGTGTACCGTCTTCTGTTGAAATTTCATCCACCGCCCAACGGCTCTGATATTGTCCTGTCACAGCAGTACTGTTTCCGAGTTTACTGCTGGTGCGGGACATGACCAGAGACGTCCTGCGGCCTCCGACGTTCTCCTCCCCAGGAATCGCTAGTGTATTCTCCCGGAAAATCAGTGTGACGTACCAGGGAACAACTCCACCATCCGTACAACCGTTGCCTACATATATTTATGTATTTTCCTTAGTCCTTAGTGTCACTATTTTTATCGTTTCGTATTTTTCGTATTAGACATGTATTTAGAACTACGTCATATCGATTGTGTTGGCCATTTTTGTTTTTAATTACACCATAGACTCTGCACCCTTAATATTTAGATGCTTTCCGTGTGTATAACTAATTGTAGCGAGTAGAATAAACATCGCACAAACGATTTTTGTTTATATGCGGTCGATTTTTAACCCCCCGATACCCCGGTTGATGATCAATCCATTGTTACGCGGACGGCCGGAATCGATAACCGCGCGCGCTCCGCGCCATCTGCCGGCGACCGACCGAACCGCTCGAAGCGCCGGGTTCGCACGCGGCGACGATAGATGGCGACACGGATCGGCTACCCGATACCAACCGGGACGATATCTTTGGTTGGCAGGACGAAAATTCGCTGGCGAGGAAATTCGGGCCCGATTTCCGTTCTTTCGATTACGCGAAATCCGTATACACCGATCTCCTTTACCCCGCGCGCCACCTCCCCGGAGCGTCTTCCGGGAGACGTCGCTCCGGGCGGGAAGGAGAGGACGCAGGGAAAATCGATGCCGGCTACGAAGCCCACGCGTTTTTCGGCAGAATTAAATCCGTCGACTATGCCTTTTTGACGAACAACATCCAATTCCCTACGGCAATACGAAATTAAATGTAATTTCCGGTACGTTTCCATCTCGATAAATTCGGTGGGATGTTTTTACGTGTTTGGGAAAGCTTCGAATTCTATATGAGTTATTTGCTTTTATCAATTTCATATTGTGGCACCTCGATAGTCAGGATTCGAAGGTCAAATTGGGCATCACACCACAGTAAAATTTACATTGTTAATAGATTTGTTAAAACCCTATGCTTTAGCACCGTTCCGGCATAGTTCATTTCAAATTCTAACCTAAATAACGTAAACCTAAAAAGGTGGATTATGTGGTTGGTAATTTTGAAATAATTTAGCCAATTGTGCAACCTCCACGCTAAAGTCGATCATGATGGTAATCTGCTATCTACAAAACATCTGGTTTCCTCCTGCGTCGATTGTCGTTGAATCGAATGGCTGACGTTTCGTCAATAATCCTGTTGGCTTCTTCAGAGCTTAACTGAAACTGTCAAGTTAAGCTCTGAAGAAGCCAACAGGATGATTGGCGAAACGTAAGCACAAGTTCGATTCAACAACAGCCGACGCAGGAAGAATCCAGTAGACGTGTAAATCGTATTCCAACAGTTCCCACTGTTGCAAATTTACGATCATGGTTGGAACGCTTTATTCATGTGCCCATGAACAGGAACGGTTATCGCATCGGTTGGAACAAACTTAATATACATATCTTGTCACCTTAGTCTGGGGCGAATCGTGTCACCGAATCACCTTAGACTAACTACTAACGGGATCTCATGAATGCGGAATTTATTATCATAACCACTTTTTTTTTACTCGGGGGTAAAATTTGAATAATAAAAACGGTATTTTAAATCTTTATAGATGGATTTCACTTATAAATCATATGCTCATTTTATTAATTACACTCAAATTTTAAACTTCGCGGGTAAAAGTAAGATTGCAACTCTTTTATATTATTTGAAAATATGTATTCCGAAAGTTATTTTTAAAAAAAGGTTTGTAGGATTTCGTAAAAAGTTTGGTGCTTGTGTAACTTGAATTATTTATTTATTTTTTTACATTTTTTTTTACTAGTACTAGTAATATATTTGTTACTTGCATATATCACCTTCAGACCTATTTTTGTGGCGACTTTAGCGGTCAACCGGATTAGGGTCCAACAAAATTAGCCCATCAATACACTGTAAATTAAATTAAACTTTGAATTGGACAAATAATAATTTCATTCTTTATTATTCCAATTTACCCTGACTACAAACATTTACATACAGCAGAAAATTTTCTTAATTTATTTTTTTAAATGCATGAGCGCCATTTACAAAAAATAACAGTTTCGTGCTTTAAGAACTAAAAGTACCGCCGAACCTACCATTACTGTACTTAAAGTGCACTATAAAAAAAATAAATAAACAAGAACTACCGTCAAACGAATACGAGTCGACTTAATTTAAATAAACATCCGCGTAAAATGGACGAATCGATAAATTGAACTATTTGCTCAAAACCGTATTATAAAGCTCATTAGATTAAAACGCCACTAAAATAGGGAAACTCGAAAGGGGCCGGCGCTAATTCGATTCATTAGGTACGTTTTTCCGCCCCGAGTGGTTCTTCTATTTAGATAGACAGGTCGGCAAAAAATTGCGATAATTGCAAAATCAAGACAAATTTTAACTTGATATTCGGCGATAGTTTAGGCGAGATCGATTTCAAGAAAACCATCACTAAACTCTAAGTAATACTTAGTAAAAACTAACCACAACTAACGTCTAGTTGAACTTTTGTAGCATTTTGAATATTATTATTAGTGCGTTTTTATAACAGAAAGTTTGCTTTGGTTTAAAAAATACAATTGCCTCTGGAAAATAATTAATGAATATGGAGCAAAGTTAACAAAAACACACTAGGTAGCTTCGGAATTAAAAAAATACCATATAATTGTTGATAAGTATTCATTCATTAAGCTCTAACTGAATTTCTATGGGTCAACCATCCATGTTATGAAAGGTTTTTTTTAACAATCGGGAATATAGGGAAGTCGTAATAGAATTCTAAAAATATGAACCTAAAGTTTGATAATTTCATATCCTATCCACTCACCGTTAAAAAAAAATTTATTACACAAAGAAAGTTAAAAGCAAAAATAAAGCAAGGAATACTATTCCACAATACATATTCCGTATAAATCTAAAATTGGAGATTTGGAGAACAGAATCAATATGACCATCCTAGAACGATTTGTAACTATATTCGAAATGAATCAAAACAGCGAATTTTTGATTAGCTCTTCTAAAATGAAACCAAAACAAAGTTAATATATGGTATTTCTTAGAGCACTATCTATCATTCTAACATCGAGTCGACATTTTTATATACATTAACATTTGAAAAATATCATTATTAACCTTTTTAAACCGAATAATATTATAAGGTTGTTCGGAAAGTCATTTCGTTGTTTCCCGTCAGAGGACTTAATTACGTTTTTTCGAAACCAACTTCACACTTAAGCCGCTTAACCATTATATGTCTTGAGAGCTGATATTGCAAGGCTTGTGTGTGAAAAAGTTCTATTAATTCTACGCAGTAGTTTTTGGTTGGTGCCCTTTTAAATATGGAGAGCAATAAGCAGCATTTTCGTCATATTTTACTTTTTTACTTCAGAAAAAGTAAAAATGCTGTCCAAGCGAGAAAAAAATTGACGGATGTGTATGGAGAAGGCGTGTTAACAGTACGCCAGTGCCAGAACTGGTTTGCAAAATTTCGATCCGGCAATTTTGATGTCGAAGATGCACCACGGTCTGGAAGGCCGGTCGAAGCTGACAAAGATGCGATAAAGGCATTAATTAGTTGATGCAAATCGGCGAATAACCACACGAGAGATCGGTGAGAGATTAAATTTGTCGAATTCGACTGTTTATGGCCATTTGAAAGGCATGGGCTTAACCTGGAAGTTCGATGTGTGGGTGTCCCATGTCCTTACGGAGCGAAATTTGTGTCGTCGCGTTGACGGTGATTCGCTCCTCAAACGTCAAGAAAATGATCCATTTTTGAAGCGGATTATTACTGGGGACGAAAAATGGGTTGTATACAACAATGTTAAACGCAAGAGGTCATGGAGCAGAAAAGATGAACCGACTCAAAGCGTGTCAAAAGCCAACATTCACCAAAAAAAGGTGATGCTCTCCGTTTGGTGGGATGTCAAAGGAATCGTTTTTTTTTGAGCTTTTGCCGGACAATACAACGATTAATTCAGAAGTCTATTGTCATCAACTGGACAAATTGAATGATTCACTTAAAGAGAAGAGGCCCGAATTAATCAACAGGAAGGGTGTAGTGTTCCACCAGGATAATGCGAGACCTCACACAAGTTTGGTCACTTGCCAAAAACTTTTACAGCTTGAATGGGACGTACTGCAACATCCACCATATTCTCCAGATCTGGCGCCTTCCGACTACTATTTGTTCCGGTCCCTGCAAAATTTTTTGGATGGCAAAACCTTTACCTCAAATGAAGATGTCAAAAACCACCTGAACCAGTTTTTTGCCAGCAAGGACCAAAACTTTTATGAGAGGGGAATTATGTTACTGCCAGAAAGATGGCAAAAGGTGTTGGACCAGAATGGCCAATATATAATTTAATAAAATATTTATTCATTATACGAAAACTGTCTTTCATGTTCCCCAAAAAAAAACGAAATGACTTTCCGAACAATATTTTAGCCGTTATTCATGAAATAACGAAAAAATTAAATTAATTATTTAAATTTTAAACCAAAAGTAATCAAAGCCATGAAAATCATCATGTTTTTCAATATATAAGTATACAGTGTCCCATAATCGGCACTTCTGGTGGAAATGTTTATAGAAAAATGGAGTTTTCGCAGTAATGTGCTTTTTTATGATAGGAAACAAGGGAGAATTATCTTATCTAGGGTTACTAAAAAGAAATGTGTGTGTAAATTTAATATGCAGTTATATATTTGGTAGTGTACGACCAAATCAATTTCAGAATAAACAGCTTCGAAGAAAGGACAGAACCCAGACTCCTCAAAAAGTATTTTCTCCTGAGTCAAACGGGTTTATCCTACGCAAAAATCAAATAGGATGGCAGGTTTGGTTAGCTTTGGTTACTTTTTGCTTCCTCCGTTCGAACCAAAGGAGAATCTTTAAGTTCGCAGAGGATCAATTTTCTCCAGCTCTAGGTAAAGTATACAAAAAAAAACAATTAAAAAAAACTGGCCAGGTTTTGTACATAATGCTTCACTTACTGACTTCAATTTTAAGGTGCAATTCTAATAAAAAAATTCTTCTGCCAACAATCAGGTTAAAATTATCTAATCTTAAATAAAGTTATATATTCGAAAAATTTTACAATAATTTTCCTAGTCTCGGTCAGCAATGACATGTAATATGTTCCTATACGATTAAGAAAAACAACTGGGGCTATAAAAAGAGACGGCCTTCTTTGTGGGCCAATAAATTTAGGTGAGGGAAATTTTCATTGCACCATGTTTCGATCTCTACAGATAAATGAGATACCTCGCAAAATTGTGAAAACAAAATAAAGGACAAAATGGATGTCGTAAGGAATTTTCATCGGAGACATTAGCAATGCCGCGTATATTAATAATGAATCGAGCCCCATTTCTAAGGGATCCGACGAAACTTTTCGCCGTCTGACGTGAACCCATCCTACTCGTCCCCCGCTTGGACCCGAATCGATACAAACAACCCTCCCATTTACGTTCGGCTAATCCGTACGTACGGCCAGACATTTTCAAATATTGACTAGCCGTTCAAAGCTCAAAAAGTGTGCCGCGGCGTTTTCATTTCCGTTTTTTTTTTTCGTAAAAGGGAAATATAATTCCTCGTATCGGGGATTATTATTACCGCGTTACGATACAAAACTTCTATTATTAGAAAATCGATTCGTAACGAATGGCTTTTTAAGGCCGCGGAAAATACATTTCCAATGATACGAGAAAACGATGAGAGATGAATATTTTATCGAGTCGGCTCGACGGTCGAGAAACGGAAAACCCTTGCGCACGATAGACTGACTCAATACGATCTAGGTCTGCGTATTTTCCTGCCCATACGGTTCGCGTCTTTAACAGCTTCTATTTCTTCAAGCTAGAGCAGTCCAAGTTCTATCAAATTTCGTTATTTCAGGTAGATTTGCATGTGTTGCTCGTCATATAGATGCAAAATTATAACAATTTTTACGTGTACAGTACAATATATCGACGGATGGAGTAGACAAGAGGACAGACAAATAGACAAAAAGGTGAAAGGTACGGAAAAACATTCTTTAAAAAAAGTTTTTGCTTGGTTTAAAAATAACGTTAGTTTGTTTTTTGCACAGGGTACAAAACCAAATTTCAAAACACAATCATCGCATCACATATTACAGTCGCCTTATAGCCCATTCATTTAATAATTTTTACGAACCTGTCAAAATAAGAAAGCTGCCAAATACTCCATCGAGCACAAGTATCGTAAGTAAATTAAAATAAACTGAATTAGTTATTGACGTAAAGGCGACTAAAAAAAAAGACATCAAAAAAGTAAATATTTCGAATTTTTGTTTGAATATTTGTCTTATTTAGAACATTTATATTTAACATTTTGTCATTAATCCGTAAAAAAAAGCAAGTTTTATATTTGTTTTTCGGTGCCCTGTTCTAAAAAACAAACGTCAAGCATTGCGAACTTTATTTTTGAAGCAAGCAAAAACATTTATACAGAATGAATTTTTTCTCGTATCTTTGAGTTGAAAAACCGTGAGCCTAATAGTCTCATTATTACAGGTTTACTTTTGCCTATAGGGATAGTTTCAATGATTTTTCAGAATTTCTTAAAAAGAATCTGATAATCGTGAGCTTTTTGTTACCAAACTATTCTAAATTGAGATTTTGTCATTCTTTTAGGAGATTTACATGTGCCAAGTTCTCTTTGGCTGATGGTTGTTCGCCATAAATATAATTGCAAAAGTTTAGCAATATCGCAGACTTCTCCAAATTTCGAAAGCATAAACTGATTTTATACGCTAGTCCATCTCACCACGCAGTTATAGCTTCAGCCTCTCACCTGACGGTAAGTTTGTTTCTTTTGCAGTGATTGGTTGCCATTTACCTTTTTTTTAACAACCTTGACCAGACTGCACGGTTTAAACTTTTTTTGATTTTATAGACTTGTAGGTTATGCTTTGGATTTTATTAGTCTTGCATCTTCTTGAGATAGCTTTTAGGACAAATACAATTGGCGGTTTTTGGTTTGTGTTTGGGTCATTCCTAAACAAACCGAGCACGATTCAAATAATGGAAATACTACGTCAAAGGGTCTAAAAATTAATTTGTTTTAGGAGTCTCTTGAAAACGAGAGAAAATCAGTTTTTTATTTTTTCCTTTACAAAATGAAAAGCCGGTTATAATCAAACGAAACGGTCTGACGATTGTAGATCGACGAACTGGTCTACATCGGGCTGAAATTTCTCTACTAGCAAACAAAAATAATTGTGGATGATGGATACCCGCTCGTTAGCGAATAACAATCGTTATAGGCATACAAACTGCACAGTTATTAACCTGAATATCTTCTTAGTTTGCTGCTTCTTGTTATTTGTTCTTTAATTCAATTCAATGTTAACCCAAACGCTCTCAAAATATTCTATAAATTTATAAAAATCGTTTCAAATATCTATACGGATCCTAGTTGCTCCTATAGACTTTCTCGCAAAACAAAAAAAAAACTGACAAGCGCTCTATTTATTTTCTGCTACGCTACTGGCCGCCCCTATTTTTACCTTCCTGCGCCGCCCGACGTCCCTGCGCGTGGTAGTCTGACATCGCGTCCATTTTTTTCTCGCCAGTGTCTCCGTTCAGCCCAGTATCTGCGGAACTTGATTAAAAAAAAATCGGTATAAGTCTTTGTTAACGTTTCCACCAATACAAGAAGTGTCTACGGCATACAGGCGACGCTTAAATGATTTTTTTTTGTTTAGTAATGCAGCAACCACAGACGTGTATACGGCCAACGAAAACAGCTACTCCTCTCGACTGAGCTATATATAATAGGTTATTAATATGCTACAGTTAAAACTTCCTACTATGTAGATATGGAAATAAAATACAGCAAACGTCAATGAATTTCGTGGCCATTTCTCTCAAATTTCTCGCAAAAAAAAGGACCACCAAATCTGACCAAAACAATAAGAAAATTACAATAACGTAAGGATTTCGATATAATACAGGGTGTTGATTAAATACGTAGCGTTTAAGTAAAGAATCTGTTGTCACTTTGAAGACAAAATTTAATTAAGAGCTTAACGGAAACTGGTCTGCTTTCTACTCTGTACCTTCTTATATACGTTTGTGGGCGGGGGAGGGGGGGGGGGGCATGAACGTTACTGAAAGATGAAAGATCTGAGAGTTTTAGTTTTATTGAATCCCGGTCTCATGACAGCAGCAGCAGTTACTGATGAGTTTAGTGGTCGCAGTCATGTTTCTTGTTTCATGTTCCTTTATCCTAGTTGATATTTTTAGCCACGTTACTTCAATTATTAGAATGCTGTAAACTGTCCAACGAAATTTTATCTTTGACGGATCGAAGATGTTGAGAGAGTTTTATGGAAAAGTGGTGAATCTGGTTTGATATTTTTATGTTTTGAATTTAAAGAAGGACGACAATGGCAAATGTGGAGTTGCTTTAAGACTTATTTTCTTTCGAAGATTGTAGTGAAGTGTATTTTGTCATGTATCTCTAATGCATATGTTAGGTGTTTTAAGTTTTAGGTTCAGTGATTTGGGTTGAGATAGTATTACATCTCTGTACCCAAGAGAGTTGATAACCGATTATTTTTGAGCTGGATGGTGATGACAATGCATTAAGTATAGAGTTCTGAGCGTAGTTTTTCTACAAACCGAATGACCAAATTTAAGATCTGTATAAGAATATTTAACAATGGAAAATTATTACAATAACAATGGAAAAATGTATGTTAGGGTGTAGAAAATGGTGAGGATGTTCTAAAAGCAGGTCCAGAGTAAAATTCAGACCAGTTTCAGTTAAGCTTTGGAGAAGGGTGATTGGCGAAACGTCAGCAATTTCGATTCATGAACAGCGGACGCACCCAATGAAAGTTTCTTTGAAAAAATTAAATGTTTTAAAATTAGTAGAAATCCAAATTTCCATTCCTATTTTTTAATGACAAATGTTATGCAATTATGAAAAAAAAACGAAAGAGCGACCTTCCCAATTAACACCCCTAAAAAAAAAGTTTGAAAGGACAATTAAATATAATAAATAAATTACGCTACACGCTCAATAAATACCTTGTATAATACCATTACAACGTATAAAAAACGCATATAGAGGCGTAAAACCGTGCGCCTAATAATTTCATTATTATAGCACTTATATTTAATTTAGCCTGTGCCCTCACTTTCTTTAATTGCAACATACTTTGAAAATATACGTTTTATATTATATCTTTAAATAAAAAACTAGTTATATCTTTACAAACTATTCGAGATGAAGATTTTTTCGTAATAAGTTAAACAAAAGTTAATTTTTAGGACAAAATTTACGATTTTTCTTCGTCATTTAAAAATTATATAGTGCTTAGTATCTGAGATTCTGAATTCTAATTGCCAAAGTTATAAAAGAAATAAAAATATAGCATTAAAAGGCGTAATTAACTTTCACTTTCACGAAAATTGATGTGGAAAAGATCAAACTATAAATATTTATCCTGTCGGTATACAGGAAAAACAAAGACAATCTTTTCGGTTAACCGCATTTCCATTAACACCCTGCATGTGACAGCGTTGGGACGGCAGACCCGTCCCAAACAGGTGTACTCACTAACAATGCCGAGAAAATGAGAGCACTCTACGGCACCTACAGCTATAAAAACTGGCCGCTGTTGACGTTATAGTTAATGTGTTAGTCGATATACGAAAAAACAAAAGCCCCTCGGAAATGGTAAATGGAAAACTCTGATTTAGTCACTACAAACGCTAGACGAAAATACAAAATTACAAACACTACGATTTCATCCCTACACGGTTTTTATGTTCACTACTTCGCTATATATAAGTATAGGTATGTGTGCTAGATAAAACATCTCTATATTTACAAGTGTTAAAACACGGGACACCAACATGTATGTACATCGTGTCTCGCGTACGTCGTTCGTTATAAACAAATTATAAGGATTATAAGTGTCGGATTACAACGATAGAACAATATACAAATTAAAAAATAATATATATAGTATCTACGGTTCTACTCGCTACAACTAGAGGCGTTTAACTTGCGGTGGGCGTGGCCTACGCGTCGCCCGGCCAATCGGAGGCCGCGAAGGGCGCGGTTTTAAACGCACCACGCCCGCTTTAACGTATATAAATTTTCTGTTTCAGTTTCTAACATTCGATCAGGTATTCGAACCCAACCCGGACCTCTACGCGACTTACCAGGAAATGGACAAAGCCCTAAAGGAACGGCAAAACTGTTAGGGACAAATATATTTACGATTTTAAGGCCGAAGTGAAAACCTTCAAACGTGAAGACACCCAAGTACCGATGTTCTCGAATTAAACCGAGTTTGTATCCGACTTGCACGGATTACTTTCTACGGCTTCCGTAATTTAAACCTCCCCACCCCATATTATACGTCGCAGAATTGCGTATTTCGAACTTGTTAAAAAAAACAACAATCGATGCCTTTCTTCGTGATTTCAACGCGTCCACCGACGAAAGTCAAACATGGGATGTTTGTTTTGATGTGCCAGGCCGTGGTGCTTAATTAAACAACGTGGATGTCTTTGTTGCTTTAAATATAATATCGAAAAATGCAAATATTTGCGGTACCTATGCGTGCAGATAAAACGGCGTGGAATATTTTTTATATACCAAAGTATCATATACCGGGTGTCCCGATAACGAGACGCTATTAGGTACATGGTAGGCGGCAGAAATTTGAAAATAAATTATTAAGCAAATTGGTCAACAGACAAAGCTGGGAATTATTTTCTAGTTTCTGAAATGACCGCCAGGAGGCGCCGAAAGATTCGGCGCATTTTTAATAAACTTGCGAGTTGTTAAAAAGAGCTTTTCCCGTGCCGTAGTAATTGTAGTCTGGGACAATAATATATTAATAGTGTATGTCAGCTGTTGGGAATCCTTAAAATATTTGACCATCCTTTATTTGACTGCTTTTTTCATGTTAGGATAAAGATATGGAGATGCGGTTTTCACTATTATTTATTTCAAAAATTATTAATTTATAGACTTTCATAAAACGCCACCTGCTGGTGAGGCAATCAATCGCAAGTCTGTCAGTGAGAGCCCGATTGATAGCTTAGGCAAACCGTTTTTAACGACTAAAATTTTATTAAAATTAAAAAGGTTTAGGTCCTTTTTGGAGTTACGCCAAGAAAAGGGTTTCTTTTAGAGGGGAGAGGAACGGTACTCCCTCACTCAAACTCTGGTTAATATAAGAACATTTTGCAGGTTTGGTTTCACTACAGGACATTTCGGAAATTCAGCATTTTCTCTTTGCAATAGAATTTTTTTTTTAATTTTTGGGACAGGGCGTTTTTACAATTGCATGTTGCTTTTACTTGGACACCAGGTATACCCAAGTGACAAAATTTTGATAGTCGTATAGGCTAAAGATTAATATATTTTTTGGTTTCTAATTTATTATATATTTTAAATATTTTTTGTAAATTTGTCCGTTTCATTTCCAAAAATGTCCATATATTTGCCTTAGAAGCAGATTCTTTAATTATTCTGTTTTTAAAATAGACTGTTAAATTTATTCACAAAAATATAGATATATACGTATTTTTATAAAGCATTTTCCATTTTTATAGGTTTGTCCACCTTGTTTGCGTTATGGTTAGTTTAAATATGTTGTTTGGTTTTTGTAATTGGCTGACCAAATCCGAATAAGTCTCAAATTGATTCGCTTTCGAGACTGTTGGTTGATTTCTAAACATTTTCGATCAATATTAAGTTTAAATTTTAATTTTCGTTACTATTCGACAGAGAACCTTCTTCTCTTTAAATAAAACAATTATAATTTATTGTTATAGAAAAACTTTAACTCCGCTCGGCCGTTTATGGTAATAAATGGTGGCCCACAGTGGATGGCCTTTTAGAAATATCTGGCGAGATTATACAGGGTGATGTAAGAGGAGGTGCTCTATCGCTCTAAAATATTTTCAAATCTGCAGTGTTGCCGATTTTATATAAATGTCTCAACATCTTGCTTAGTTTAAATGGCACCCCCGGTATATCCTTTCATATTTGAATTCTACTCAAGACACAAAGTAGATTTTGTTCCGGCATCCTTATGCCTATATCTTACCGTTACAAAAATAACGAATAATTTCTTATATTTTTGAACAAAAAAAACGAACTTTTCTAGACGGTTCCTGAACGGTCTCACTCATCTTTCCTGGTATATCATTTTAGAATCAACCTACAGGGAGTTTTTGTACGGGAGTTCTAGATTTCTTCTATTGACTTCTTTTTAAATAGGAAAAAAAAATTACATAATATCAACATCTCGAAGAACTTCGTAAAACCTTCCACTTAATTTAACTATTTGGCGTCCGCTGTAATTATAATAATCCAATAAAATGTAATAAAGTATGACATTTGAAATTGTTAACCCTGTTCACGAAGAATACTTTGGAGCCTGACAGAAAGGAATTCCTGTCTTGATTAATTGACTTTCGAAAAAGGAATTCCCATACAAAATAGTATTTTTAAGATACTGTGGATGTTCCATCTAAAATGGCATGTCAGACTGCAAATATTTGACCTCTGTAAAAGTTCGGCTTTCTGTTCAATTAATTTTTTCAAGAATCCAAATTGTATAAGGTATAGAAAAACTGTATAAGGTATAGAATTTAATTATTTGGGGTTTTGTTAGGAAAGATACTAAACAATATTTATTTCGCGGACAGAGAAAGTCCATTTGGAATCCAACCATCTTTAGAGCCAGCATGCAAAATAGTTATTCTTTTACCTCTTTTTGATGACGCGTTTGTTTTACACTTATCAGTTGAGTCAACCCAACCCCTTTCCGGGGTATCATAAGTGTCTGATCCAGGTTTCATCCTGTATTGTTCTCTGTAAATCTTAATTTTTTCTAGATATTCCAGACGCCATTTCCGAGTTCTAAAAGATTCCATTAAAACTTGGCTTTTGCCAATTTTTTTAAATCTAAAACCCATGTATTGAATAACTTCCATAAGGTAGTTCTGCCTAATTAAGATATCTAATGTAGGCATGCTTTGTTCCTCGTATAACTGGTAAATTTTACGCATTTATTACATTTGGGCGGGAGCATCTCCTGAGATACACTGACTCCCACATATTTTGCATAATTCACACACGATTTAACACACGCTGTATTACACAGGAAATAAGAATGATTACTAATAAACTTAAACTAAGTAGTATACCAAACCAAAGAATATTAAACACAGGTAGGTATAAAATTATTTTCTATTGCGGACCAAAATTTTACCTGAATTTAAATTCCGAAACTTTAGGTAATAATCTTGTTGCGTTGTATGTTAGTGACCACCCTTGGATAATCCCATTCAAAAGCAATTGGTCACTTTCTTATATCTATGAACAGACCATACCATACCATATAGAAGCGGCAACCCCGCATACTCCTCTTACACCGCTCTGGCATTTATTTTATTTTATAAATACGATGTCCCAATACTGGCCATTCAAATCTATCAAAAATAAACCGGGTTCGCCCGGTTTTCGGGACCGGCCCCACAAAATGGCGGTGTGCCATACCAGGAGAGTATCCGCCCGAACAATAGCCAAGCAGGGGTCTATTCCGGTTTCTTTTCAACTCGCAACCCCTACGGGAGATTGGGAAAAAAATTACGAAGATGTTGTCCCCGCATACCTAGTTCAAGTAAGTCGTGAGTACTTAAAAAATGTGTTATACATGTTTTGAGTGTAATTTATTGCGAACGGGTCCCCATTAGATTTACTGAGTGCGGCGAATTGACGGAATAAATCTAGGAAACTAATAAAACTGTTCATAAAAGCCCGGGGTCTGAATTACAACTGATGTGAGGCCGCATAAATTAGGGCGATAATCGCGTTTATATCGCGCTTGTTTTCGACATTTCAGAAGTGGGATGATGGCTAATATAGAACGCATATAACAATTGTTTAACCGATTTCAAAATGGCTCGGGTGATGAAATGAATGAGCTCGGAGGTGTGAAAAATTATTTTTATCATACCTTAACGTAAACAACCCTTTCTAAGAACTAAAAAAATAATAAACCACTACCTGTTTTATGCGAAATAAAAATTATTCTTGAAAATTCGGCAGCACATCTTTGGAGCCAAATTGTTTTAATAAAAGTAGAAAGGAAATACAGTTTGTGCTATATTAAAAGGATTATTGGTAAAATAATAGTTTCTTTAGTACAGGGACTTTCGTAATTCCAACAAAGTGACATTCAAATTTACAGCGGGCATATCTAGAATGTTTTTCGTTGTTAGATGAATGTAAAGAAGCTTCGAATCTCATACCAAATTACTAAACGATCCTTCAAGTGCGTTAGTAAAGAATATTTCATAAACATAAAAATTTCTCCTAAAAATTGAAACAAGTATTTAGTTTTAAGCCCTTTAAGCTCAAAATATTTTTCCTGAACGAATAATGAAAAGGCTGTTTTGGATCTTTTGTCACCTAGTTTCAGCAGTAAGGGATAGTGCAATGAAAGATAACTTTAAAAGGATGTAAGTCTCAAAGTTTTTTTACTTTAAAATTCAATGTACACCGTGTACCAAATAAAACTTCCCACTATACGATCTGAAAACCCGTAGGCGATAGTTTCGTACAAAAGCTTCTTGGACTCTCCTGAAAATTTAAAATTCTATAATTTTGTTGTTACAGGGTGTCCCAAAAGTGTCCCCTCCGACATCAAATTTGTTATTTTAAATGGAACACCCTGTATATATCGACATTTTTGGAATCCTTTGAAAAAGTAAAGGTCACTTTCTTAAGAAATTCCTATTCGAATTTTGCATAGTTTAGGCAGAAATCGAGGTTATGTGTTTTTTTTTTTTTTCATATTTTGATTGCCCCATATAAAATTTGTGTTGTGGCGCTACTGATCCAGGTATTGCAACGAAAATTTAATCGCAGACTAAGGAGATGCACTACTCAATCAGTTTGACAGATGAGCCTCAGCTTATACAGGGTGTCTCAGATAGGTGGTGCCGTTTTGGCGAATTCAATTAACAAAATCTCAAGATTATAATATATTAAATCCTCAGGAGAGTTCAAGAAACTGTTGTGCGAAACTTTTTTTCGTATCTCCTATGGGTTTGCAGATCGTATAGTCCGTCGTTTTATTTGGCACACTGTGTACATAATTTGCGTATAGCGATTAATCAACCCTTAGCGGAAGTTTTTTGCTTGAATTGTAAATTTAAGATCCAAATTGAGATTGATTTCGACATTGTCACTAACAACTGATGACTAG